ATTCAGATCTGACACCCGATTCAGATCTGACACCCGATTCAGATCTGACACCCGATTCAGATTTGACACCCGATTCAGATCTGACATCGATTCAGATCTGACATCAGATTCAGATCTGACACCAGATTCAGATCTGACACCACAGTCACATCTGACACCCGATTCAGATCTGACACCAGATTCAGATCTGACACCACAGTCACATCTGACACCAGTCACATCTGACACCCGATTCAGATCTGACACCCGATTCAGATCTGACATCGATTCAGATCTGACATCCGATTCAGATCTGACACCAGATTCAGATCTGACACCACAGTCACATCTGACACCCGATTCAGATCTGACACCAGATTCAGATCTGACACCACAGTCACATCTGACACCAGTCACATCTGACACCCGATTCAGATCTGACACCCGATTCAGTTCTGACACCAGATTCAGATCTGACACCACAGTCACATTTGACACCAGAGTCAGATATGACACTCGATTCAGATCTGACATCCGATTCAGATCTGACATCGATTCAGATCTGACATCGATTCAGATCTGACACCCGCTTCATATCTGACACTCGATTCAGATCTGACACCACAGTCACATCTGACACACGATTCAGATCTGACACCACAGTCACATCTGACACCTGATTCAGATCTGACACCAGATTCAGATCTGACACCACAGTCACATCTGACACCCGATTCAGATCTGACACCAGATTCAGATCTGACACCACAGTCACATCTGACACCAGAGTCACATCTGACACCCGATTCAGATCTGACACCCGATTCAGTTCTGACACCAGATTCAGATCTGACACCACAGTCACATTTGACACCAGAGTCAGATATGACACTCGATTCAGATCTGACATCCGATTCAGATCTGACATCGATTCAGATCTGACACCCGCTTCAGATCTGAAATCCGATTCAGATCTCACACCCGATTCAGATCTGACACCACAGTCACATCTGACATCACAGTCAGATATGACACCCGATTCAGATCTGACACAAGATTCAGGATCTGAATTGGGTGTCATATCTGAATGTGGTGTCAGATCTGAATCGAGTGTCATATCTGACTCTGGTGTCAGATGTGACTGTGGTGTCAGTTGTATAAACTATAAAATGTATTTTCTGATTATTGAATGCCATACTTATGCCAAGACTATAATACGATTGACCCCTAATATAGCTCTGGCCCCTAACATACCAACTGTCTTTGACCAACACTAAAATTACTGTCCCTTTGCTAACTGTACCGTTCAACTGATCGGGTAATTGAATGTTTATATTTTTTATTTATAAGATTTTTTAGTTTATCTATCACTTACTCAATCCCTCCAAACCTAACCAAATCTAACCGTTTTATTGTATGATTTTATAATGTTAATTTATATTTTAACTTAATAATTTGATAATCAAATTGTTAAATATGTTATTTTACATTCTTAATAAAAATTTTTAGATATTTTAGCTTATTCATTTTAATTATTGTTTATTCATATAATCTATTTGAATGATTAGGATAAATTTTATTTTCAAAAATTTTGATAAAATAATATATTTTTTTAATTAATATAATAAAAATTAATATATAAAATTTTAAAATTTAATTAATTTCTATTTTCAATAATTTTATTTTTATTTAATATAATCTAAATCTTAATTTATAAAACATTAGTTCTTTTTTAGATTTTATAATTTTGCTATAATAACAAAAATAAATAATAAATTTATTACTTTATCTTCATTTAGTCTTAACTGTTTTATTACAAATTTTTAACACATTATTGACATTTAAAAATTTATATATAATTTTTTTAATATTGTATTATATATTGTTAAAATTGAAAAAACTTATACAAATTTTAGCATTGTAATTATGTTCTTATTTATTAAACAAAATAGTTGTAACTAAAAAAATTATTTTAGAAATTTAATTTTGCTGTATTTCTTAGATATATCCTAAAAATATTCAATATATTCAAACTTATTTATATTTTAATATTTATTATTTTATTTAAAAAGGATAAATATTAAATTATTTAATATAATTTAAATTAATTTCTAAAATTAAAACTAAAAATTAGTAATAATTAACCTTATAGAAATAATTTTGAATTTATAATAAATTATAATTTAAATAAAAATGCAATAAACATTATTTAAACATTAATTATTAACTATGACGTCTAAAATATTTTTATTTGAAGTTAATTATTATTTAAAAAAGTTATAAATCAAATATATACACAATTAGTGTTCAGACAACTTTTCAATTGAAGGAAGTTTCCAAACAAATTCCTTTCTATTTAAAAAAAAGAAAAAATTCTTTATCTATAAAAACATAATAATTATTCTTTATTTTGATAACTTTGCAAAAATATGACAAATATTTCTTATTTATTGATACTTTTTTTTAAATACAACTCAAAATACACTTTAATCTAAGATTTATTTTTTAAATATAATAATAAAATATTATTTAAATATTATTAATATCAATAATTATATATATATATATATGTCAATATATATTAATAAATATAATAAATCAAATATAATAAATAATATTTTGAACAAAACTAGGAATGTTATTAAATGTATATATATATATAGTTAGGTTTGGGACAAATTTTGTTTATCGTTTTATTTCCCAAAAGTTGTCTCTTATCGCTGATCATTGGGAACTAACAAGAAATCTATTCATTGTGTTCTCTAAACAGAAATTTTTTATAAGGTTTAAAAAACAAATATAAAAAATAGTATTTTAAAAGCTATTGTTAAATTGTACTAAATTTATTGAATTATATTTATTTTTATATTTTGTATGAGTAGACGATAAGTGCAGGAAAAATAAAATATTTTCACTATTTTCCGGGAAAATTGGAGAATTGTTATTAGGGAACTTCTTTGGAAAGTTTCCAGAATATTATATACAGTATAGTCAACACAAATAAGTAAAACACAACACAAGTAAAAAATAGTTTATATAAAATGCTATGTTTATAAAGAAATTATTTTTTTTTAAATTCAAAGTAATTTTAGCTACAGTACTAAGTTTTAAGTAGAAATAAACAAATTTTTATTTAAATGGCTAATAATGTTGAGAAACAACTTATTAATATGTAAGTTTTAATTATTTACTAAATTATTAAATAATTTATTTACTGTAAATAAAAATTAAATAAAAAAATTAATATTTAATTTAATATTTAATGAGTATAAATATTATAAATAATTTTTTAATATAATTTATTTAAAAATACTGTATTACCGTAACCATAATTATTATATTTGTGTGTGTGTGTATGTATATTTGAGTGTGTGTGTGTATGTATGTATGTATGTATATGTGTGTATGTATGTGTGAGTGTAAATGTATGTGTATTTATTAATATAAATTATTGTTTTTCTAATATTAATACTTTTATAGAAATACTTGTGAAAAATATGTATCAATTTGTTTTAAACAACAATCGGACAAATTTTGGCCAATGTTTGAAACAATTGTTGACAATGTATTAAAAAACATGTTAACCATTAATGAGAAATCAATTGCTGAACAGCTTAAGACACACTTACAACAAATGATTGGCTATTATAAAGGATCAAATATTATGATACCGTTTGGTTTTGGGCCAGTTATGACATATAGTGTGCTTTCTGGGTATATGCCTAATGATCCACAGTTTAATACAAATGTTTATGCATTGGGTTGGGTCGGCAAACTGTTGGCTAATTATTATTTTCTATTGGATGACATTATGGATAAGTCGACCAATAGATTGGGCAAACCGTGTTGGCATACATTGGTAATACAGTAAATAGTTTATACTATATATTAATAAAATTTAATAATTAACAAAAAAAATATAATTGAATTACAATGAATTTTTTATGGGTGGTATGGAGTCAAATGTTAAAAATTAAAAAAATTTTGAGATAGTGGTATAGTAAATGTGTATATTTTATTAAATTTTTAAATGACAATTTTTCCTAATTAGATCAAATAAGGCGATTTTTTAAAATTTTTATTAATTAAAAATTAATTAATACTGCATATTTAGTTTATTATAATAATTTTTAGTATTTGATTTATTTTATTAAATTTTTATCGAATCATTTCATTAAAAAATATAGAAAGGCTTTAAATAGCATTTTTTAAATATAATATAAATAATGTAGTATTTTGTTTTTATTATAATTTTTTTTTATTTTATTACTAACCTTAAATTTTATATATATAATTTATTTTTGTTTTAAAAATTAATTATTTTGAAGCCATCGGTTGGTTTATCGGCACTAAACGACAGCACATTATTGTTGTCAGTTATACAGAAAATTATTGGAATTTATTTTGAGAGTCATCCACAATATTGTAACATGGTCAAACTAATTACACAAGTAATTTAATTAAACATTTTTTTGGCTTTTATATAGTATATCATAACTGCCATTAGTTAGCACGCAATTAATATTTATATATATTTTAGTTAAGTTTAAGTTAGGTTTAGGTTTAGGTTTAGGTTTAGTTTTAGTTTTAGTTTTAGTTTTAGTTTTAGATTTAGATTTAGGTTTAGGTTTAGGTTTAGGTTTAGTTTTAGTTTTAGATTTAGATTTAGGTTTAGGTTTAGGTTAGGTTAGGTTAGGTTAGGTTAGGTTAGGTTAGGTTAGGTTAGGTTAGGTTATGTTAGGTTAGGTTAGGTTAGGTTAGGTTAGGTTAGGTCAGGTTTGGTTAGATCAGGTTAGGTTATTTATCGTTAAATATATGGAAATTTTAATCGCGTGCTAACAAGTGGCAGTCATACTATACAATACCAAATTTTTAAATAAAAACAGTTACTTGGTAATATATCATATGGGCAACAATTAGATATGATATACTCAAAAATTGACTCAAAAAATTTTGATCAATTTACAATGAAAAGATATTTTATTAAAAATAAATACAAAAATGCCTATTTTGGATTAATCATGGAATTCAAACTGGGTTAGTTAAAATGTTTTATTTTTTTATTCATTACAATATTATAATTTTTTAAGTTTAATTTTTAAATTTTCAAAAATCTAAAAATTTATATATATGAACATTTGCTGTGAAATTAAATATAACAATTACGTTCACCATTGGAACAATTGTCACAATTGTGACGTCGGGGGGGAGGGGTAGGAAATAATTTGGTATTGGATAATGTAATTTTAAATATAAACTTTTATTAAAAAAATTAATAATAAGATTAATTTAATTTGATTAATCTGATGACTTTCTATGAAGGGAGGGGAGGGTTTTGAAATTAACATTTTGTCCATAGTTTTACATTTTAATATTTTATCTTTTATATTTGCTATTTATTTAAAAAAGCATCATTCAATTATTGATTTAATTTATTTCTATTTTATTAATTATGATTTAATAGGATTGTACGCCTCAGGCAATGATTGTATTGATAATCAGCAACTAATTGAAGACAAGCTAATAATGTTGGGTGTATTGGACGGCGCTATCAATGATTACGACGATCTAAACAAACTGGACGGTGGAACTGATATACAAGAGGGTAAGTTTAGTTGGCTAGTGGTCAGGGCATTGGAATTAGCAGATCATAGACAACGGGCCATAATTTATGATAACTATGGCAAAGTAGATGATATGTGTGTCCAACAAATCAAACAACTCTATAAAGATTTGGATTTGAAAAACCAATTTCTAGTTTACGCTAATCAAGTGTTTGCAGATATTCACAAATTTTGTTTAGAAACTGACAACAATTTGGTAACCATATTATTGACCAGTTTTGTCGATTTGGTTGACGGTTATCTAAAGCGTGTCCTTAAATAAATGTTTAATATAAAATGTTGTTTGAATTTAAATAATAATAATTATCGGTCTAGTTTATTATTATTATTTTATTTAGTTACATGATTTACTGTAAGTGTGTATTATGTTATCAAATTTAAAATATATAGTTATATTATTTAAGGGAATTTAATAAAGTATCCAGTTTATCTATATATTGTTCTGACAATCATTAATTAAATCTAATTAGTTTATTAATTAATTATGTTTTTATTATTATTATTTTTTTGTATTAAAAAAATTAATGTAGGTAAAGCATTATATACATGTTACAGGATTTTTAAGTTTTAAATAATTGTGTTTTACTTATTAAAAAACATCTTAATATTGATAAATTAAAATTATTAATAATTTATTATATTAAAATAAATCAACAACATTAACAAAAGTTTTGTTATATTTGTTGATTTATTTGATTATAATTTGTTACAAAACTTATATAACACCGGCATCTTTGACTAGTGAGTAGAAAATGGTTGTCTTGTCCTCAAGCAGTTGATTGGGTGCGTCAAATTCAGCTACCCGTCCATCGCTAAGCACTAACACCCGATCGTAATCCATGATTGTATTGATTCGGTGGGCAATCGTTAAGACAGTACATGACTTGAACTCTTGTCTAATAGTTTGCTGTATGAGTGCATCGGTTTCTACATCGACGGCAGCCGTGGCCTCATCGAGGATAATAATAGTCGACTGTCTTAGTAGAGCCCGAGCCAGACATACAAGTTGTCGCTGACCGACACTCATGTTATCACCCGATTCGGTAACCGGATGGTCGAGTCCGGCGTCAGTCGACAATACAAACTGTTTGAGATGTGACTGCTCTAACACTGTCCAGAGATTGTCATCTGAAAACCTATCAAACGGATCCAAATTTGAGCGAATAGTTCCCGAAAACAGTACCGGTTCTTGTGGTATAATTGTCAGCCGCGACCGCAACTCATGAAGACCTAATTGGCTGATATCTATGCCATCGATAACTATTCGACCCATTGCTGGCTCAATAAGTCTGAACAATCCGAGTGTTAGCGATGACTTACCCGAACCGGTTCGGCCAACGATACCTATCTGTATGAATTGAATAGACAATCGGAAATTATTATTATTATGCAATTAACTAACAATTGCTTTTAAGAGACAAATTTAAAAATAAAAAACCATTTCTCCTGATTTAATATCAATATCAATGTCTTTGATTACTAAATCCAATCCCTGACGATATCGAGTACCGTATCCGTCAAACCTGAGGCAACCATTTTCTGGCCATTTAGCAGTCAATTGTGTTTTATCGGCTTCTGTCTGCCAATCAGATTCTGTTTTCAAACAACAGTATTCATCGATTCTTTCAAACGACACAAGACTTGCTTGAGTTTGTGCTAATGAATCGATAAAATACTCTAAAATATCAGTCAATGAAATGGCATTTGCGAGAGACAGTCCAATGTCCGAACCGGTCAACTGTTGTCTACATATGACACCAAACAGTGCGGCAAATAATATAAGACAATTGGTTAGCACTTGTAGCCGCATTAATAGCCAACTGTTGGCCACAATATACGGATAGAGACACTTAGTATTTTTGTCAATCCTATTGTCCGATTCGCTTATAAATCTATCGCTACAATCATAGGCTCTAATACTTGATAAACCGTTTAGTGATTCTTCTAAATGTGAATTAATTGGCGATCGGCTGATAGATTCTAAACTAAATATTAATATTAATTATTTTACTCTAATTTATTTAAACAATTTTTTTCATTATTTCTTTAAACTAAATAATATAATTAATTTACTAAAAACTAAATTATTTATTAAAAAAAATTAATAGTAATATATACTGCATACCGTTTCAATTGACACGATGCTTTAATATAAATGTTCTTGTTAATTGAATAAACAAAAATTACATTTGAAATTTTTTAATAATTTAGTTTAATTTTTGTTTAAATTAATACCTGTAGAAAATAGTATAGAATAACAGCCAATGCCAATGGTATCAAAAACATTGGCGTCAGTATTGAAATCGACACAACAATACCAATAGCTTGTAGACAATAATCAATTATTTGGCTAAACGATAGTATAAATACAATATTAAATAAATAAATTTGAAACCTAAGTAAACACATGATTACCTAAACATAATTGGCAAATGTCTGTCTATAAGAAACATATCTTTATTGAAACGATTTAATAGACGTCCCAATGGTGTTACATGAAAAAACGCCATGGGCGCATGTATTACACACTCTAACAGTTGACGGTGCAAACGGATTAGGGTACGCATTATGCTTATGGCGTAAATAAATCGATAAGCTGTTAACAATATAAATTGTGCTAGTATAAATAAGCCAAATATTAGCAAATAAAATAGTGGACCACTAGTGTCGGTACCACTGGCAATCATTTTTGACCAGTAGGCCAACCAAAAATTTGTCCCATAGTTGATTGATGTATTCAACATTAGCACCGGTACACAAATCAGCAAAAACATAATGTTTATTGAACGCACATATTTGATAAATATCTTAAATTAAAATAAATAATAAAAAGATTTTTTTTGTTTAAAAATAATAATAAATAGTTATTCAATTTATACCTTCATAGTTATTAGTCCATTTTGGGCACCCTCCTCATCAACTAATTGTGCATGCTCATTATTATTATTATTATTATCATTATTGGCAACTATTATGTCGTTATGTTTTTGTGTTTTAATATATTTATTATTGATAACAACAGTTGTCTTCAAACTACTACCGTTTCGTTGACTGTCCATTTCATCTACTGATTCACTAAAATACTGTTTAATCAATTGCTCGAAATAATTACTGTCCCGTAAAAGCTGTTCATAAGTACCGGTCGATACAATTTTGCCATTTTTTAGTACAACAATTAGATCGACATCGGCTAACATAAACAGTTGATTGGTTACCAATAATCGGGTTTTATTTCGTAAAATACCGGTTTTTGAATCAAACACTTCATTCATAATATGTTTTCCCACATGACTGTCCACTTTAAATAAAAAGTCGTCAAAAAATAACAGTATTGTTATTATTATTATTATTATTATTTAAGAAAAATGTGATATAAATTAATTGAATTACCCGCTGAAAGTGGATCGTCGAGTAGATATAGATCGGCACCGGAATAGACGGCTCGGCTTAAACTAAGTCTCTGTTTTTGACCGCCGCTCAGATTTACGCCTTTCTCACCGATCTCTGTGTTGTCTCCGCCAGGAAGTTGTCTTATGTCAGGTCTAAGAGTACAGCTGTCTATCACTCGGTCATACAGTTCCTCATTGAATGGTTTACCAAATAATATATTCTGTTTGATGGTTGCATTTTGTATCCAAGCCTGTTGAGGAACGTAAGCTAAACGAACATCCGATCTAATCATAACTGTGCCATCAATGAGCTCCATATCGCCGATAATTGCCGACAACAGTGAACTTTTGCCGGCCCCGACATCGCCGACAATTGCCACAAACATACCTTCACTAATATGCAAATCTATTTGGTTTAACGTATGTTCCTTTAGATTACCATTGATTTGATCATTATGTGTGTCCCAGGAAAGTGTTGCCCCATTAATATTAATAACATTATTATTATTGCTGTCATTATTGTTAGTAACATAGTTGTTGTGTTCATCCAAATTGAGAAATTTATTGAAACGATTGACTGAGACATACGTCTATAAATAAAAAATTAATATTTTTTTTAATACTATACAGTATTTACTAAATATATGTAATGAACAGCAGATTTTATTTTTATTTTTAAATATCTATAATATAAATTATTTTTAATATTAAGATATAAATATTTAATTATATTTCTGTATTTAGTTAAATATATTTAGATTTTTTAATGAATTATTTTTCTTATTATAATTTAATTGATTATATATATATATATATATATATAATCAATTAAATTATAATAAGAAAAATAATTCATTAAAAAATATAGAAATATAGTATAGAAAATATTAGTAATTTTTAGACATCAAAATATATGATAGATATTACTAAATTATTTAATAAAATATGCACTTAATTAATATAATCAAAATATGTGAATATATTGCTTATTTTAATATGATCATAATATAGTATATATAAAGCTAATTTTATAATATTAATATTTAAAAAAGTATATACATAGTTTAATGTATATATTATATGTTTCATCATATAATTTATTTGATTTTTAATGATATAATTTAAATGTTTTCAACTTCAATTGATTTCAAGTCGTTACTGTTAAACATTTTTAAAAATATTCTCTAATTTAATAATTTTGTTTAAAAAATGAATGTCTTATGCAATATATATTTTTGGTGAACTTATGGGGGGATAAAATGTTTATATTGTACTCTACCTCCTTTGCTTAACCCTGGTTTATAAAGATTTAAATTGTTTAAAAGCAATTTATGTGTTTATATATTGATAAAAAAATAGTTAATATTATAATATAATACATACAATGGCTGCTGTAATATAAACATATGTTAACTTTGATAGAATCACTTTAAACACTGACATCAATGAAATTGAAAAAAATAAGTTTTCAGCCGTCAATTGTTTGGCAAAATTTAGACCCAAATATAAACTAAATATTAATAAATGACATAATATGGGACACATGTATGACATTATATACAGTAAGGAATAAACAAAGTATGAGTGTTTGACTTTATTTAACTCTTGATCACGTAATTTGGTTATAATATTTATAAAAGGTATTTCCCAACTGTATAACTAAAAAAACAAATAATTAAATATTGATTCATTATATTTAATAATAAATAATTAATAAATAATACTTTAATTATTTTGATGCCATTTAGCATTTCTTTAATAAAATTTAGTCTATTGTCAGTATATTTTAAGCCTTTTCTATCGATTTGAATAGCAATTTTCATTACAAAATACTGGATCCAAAATAGGATGACCACTACAGTTAAGACAGCAAATGCTGTATAACTGAACTCAATAAACAATAAACCAGTCATTAGTATCATCTGTAGAGGTATTACCACTATGTATGCTAACCATTGGGCATAATCTATGTATAATTATACAGATATACTGTATATTTCATAATATTGTATATAAAGTTAGTATTAATGTATCTACAGATATACTTACCATTAACTCGTTGACAGTCGACAGCCATTAGGTTAGTAATGTCTCCATAACTGTTGTCCCGTTTTGCACCGTTACTTAACACCAATGACTTGCGATATACTGCAGACATCATCGATGATGTGATTTTCATCGCTATTTTTTTTAAATATATAAATATTAAATGGAAAACATTTTAATTAAATATTATTTTAATTATTTAAAAAATATGATAAAAACCTAGACATTTGATTGCTTGTATATAGTATGCATTCAATACACTCGATACTATATTCATGAGCACTAGTAGTACTGTATAGATATATCCGTGCCATTTATACTCATCCTTATCCTTATAGGTAATAAACAATCTAAATTATTTAATAAAATAATAATAATTATTATTATTATATTAGCAATTAGTAATAATAATAACATTAAAACATAAAATTTTGTTAACTAATATATTAATGTACATACTTTACAACTAATGGTTGACAACATTTTAAGCCAACCGATATAAATAATATAATACATAACCAAATAAATTGTAGACTAAAGTGACGCAATATTATGTAAACAACATTAATATTATGTAATTGTTTAATAGATTTTATATTATTATTATTATAGAAACAGTTGAAACTAAAAAATGAAAATTTATATTTTGTTTTATTGTCCAAACCGTTTGCAGGCATTTTATCATCATTTCTATTGTCGACAGCAATATTACGATGAGATTTCAAAAGATATTTATCAAACATACGCTTATAGTTAGGAAAAACACTGAACTCATGGGTCAGTGACCAGAGATCGTTGAAGTCGATCGTGTTTTTCCAGTTCCGTACAAACAGACTGGTCATCCAATTATAGGTTAGACGTGATATAAACGATGATCTATCTATTGGACACATATTATTATTACTGTTTTTCTTAGTAATTATAATTGTATTATTATTGTCTAATGATTTGCGATCAGCAAATTGACAATAAATAATTAGTATAACAGTCAATAAATAGTTAATGCATAACAATATAAATTCATAATTGTATAGCACATGATTGATGCTATATATGGCAACAGAAAATGCACCTAAAATTGTGTCCAATAATAGATAAAACCAAATCAGTCCACTTGTGATAATGCCGTACAACCGCTGAATATTAAACACTATAAATAGTAGTAATCTAGAAATCAATTGTACGGTCAATGATATTATGTATGCAGTACTGGGACTATCCTTCCACTGATATTTACGGCTTAAACTTAAAGCCAGTTCCGCTATTAGTATACCAATGCTTATTAAACATATAGATAATCGGGTGGTGTTGTAGTAATTCCATTGAATAATAGTATCCGTAATATTATTGTGACAACATTTCCACATTAGTTTCGGTATGTATAACAATAAGAATATACAGGGAATCCATGTAAACCATGTGCTGGCCATACATGAGCTTAGATTAGGTGATGTTGTATACCATGAAAGTTGCGGATTCTTTAGACAAAAAAAGTAATAAAATTTTAATAATTTTGAAACAATAATAGCTGACATTTTTTACTATCTTATATAATTGTTTTCATTTTTTACATGATTTTTATAAATTGTATAAAAATTAATATAATATAGTTACCCATAATTGATCATCACATATTTTATCAAACATTATTTAATTTAATGTTATCTATAATACATAGCATAAGAATTATTAACAAAATATTAGCAAAAGTATAATATTAATATATAATGCATTTTATTAAATAATAACCAAAAAAAATTAAATAATAAAAATGATTCTATAATTTATATCAAACTACTATTCAATTATAGCATTTGAGAAAAAACAAATAAAACTTATTTTTAAAATAACAAATAATAACAAATATATGTATTGATATATACATTATAACATTAATACAATATACAGATATACACTTTGTATAAAACATTAACTTTAAGATGACTAGATGACTTTTAAATAAATTCCTTATAATTTAGCATATTTATTATTATTTAAAAAATACAATGTACAGGTATTGTCTATATTGTGTTAAATACTAAAATTGTAAAATTATTTTAACTTAATTAAAAAAAATATTTTAAATGACATAGTAATCAAACACACTATGACATTATAATAATTATATATAATTAATTAAATTAATTTTCAAGTACTAAAAATATATATATTATATTATAAAAATCACGCATTCTATAAAATTAAAATTAAAATTAAATTTTAACAAGATTACTTTTATAAATAATAAGTACTTTTTTACGTTTATATAATTGATATAATAATGTTACCAATTTTGTTTATTTATTTTTATTAATTATTGTTGTATTGTATAATCAATATTTTATATTAATTTTAATTTAATATTTATTGTTAGTGGTAATATTAATTTTTATAAATTTAAAATTATTTTATTTTTAATTAGTTATAACATAAATATTATTCTTGATTTTTATAATTATCACTGGTTAAAAAATAAAAATAAAACAAAATAAATTTAAAATTATTTTATTTGAAATATTTATAAAAAGTTTTATTTTTTCTTATACAAGTATTTTATTGTATTTAATTTATTAGTTAAAAATACATTTTTAAAAAATTTTTAGTTATTTCAAATATTTTTTCAGACAATAATTTAGATTAAATTTTTGTTATAAACTGTTTTATATCAAAATTAGTTTAGTTTAAAAATCTATTTATTTTAGCTAACAATAGTGATAATATTAAAATTTATTTATTTAATTTTTTAGTTAATTAAAAGACAAACAAATAAATAATCTAATATTTCAATAATTTATCAATTTTTCATACTAACTTTCTTGTAAAATGTTTATTAAAAATTTAAATTATTAATTAAATTTATATATTTATATATTTATATATTATGTATATATATTTAATAGTGTACTGTAGATATAATATTGTATAATATTTAATTATACAATACAATAACCGCTTGTATTTTAGTAGTTAATCTAAAATATTTTTTAAAAATTTAATTTAATAAAAATTTTAAAATAATTTTATAGTATCTCCACGTTTAGGTCCAACACTGACCCATTTAACTGCAAATTAATTAAAATTAATAATAAATAAATAATAATAACAACAATAAAATAATATTAATAATACCGGGAACGCCAACTAGTTTCTGAATAGTTAGCACATAGTGTTGGGCGTTGTCCGGCAAATCGGCAAAATTACGAACACTACCAGTGCTTGTTTGCCATCCGTCTAATGTTATATACTTAACCTTAACTTTGGCCAAATCCGATGAAATAGCTATAATTTAAAAAACAATACAATTTTTATATATAACAATATTTAGTTTAATTTAATTAGTTTTTGTTTATTACTACTTAAATAATTTTAGTCAACTTATAATAATTTAAATATTTATTAATTACCCGGCAGTGAATGTGTAAACTCTTTGCCATCTAATTGATAACTGACTGCAATTTTAATCTCTGGAAACTTATCCATAATATCTAACTTAGTTATAGCCAGACTTTTTTTTAAACAAATAAATTAAATTAAACTAAATTAAATATATAATACCTTTATATTAATATTATATATGTTTACATAAAAGTTAGTATAATAATATGGTATAAAATTATATTATTATTATTAAATAAATAATTATTAATAAGCACATACGCTGTATAGCCATTAATTATATTTGAATAGCGCACTAGTACTACATCTAACCAACCGCATCGTCGTCTACAGCCTGTAGTCGTACTAAGTTCGTTGCCATTCATCTTCAAATAGTCGCCCCAGTGATCGGTTAGTTCAGTGGGAAACGGACCCCCACCCAATCGTGTAGTATAGGCTTTTACTATACCGTAAACATTGCCAAGTTGTTGTGTCGGTATACCCAAACCAGTGCACACACCGCCAATCGTACAGTTAGATGATGTTACATATGGATAGGTACCTAATATTAAATATATATTTATATAAGATTTTGTTTTTTAACATAAAAAACATTAATATAATTACCAAAATCAATATCAAGTATGGCTGCATTGGCACCTTCAATAACTATACGTCTACCGGCTCTTAGCTGACTATTCAAATATAATACCGTATCGGTAACACAGGGTCTAATTACATCAGCATATTTCTAAATTTAATCATTTAAATATAATGTATAACTAATTAAAATAATATATATATACTGTATTATATAACCTAACTAACTATCTAAACAAAAAATTATTCTTTGATTTTATTATAGATAAAAATAATTTTTATCATTTTTTAAGTTAGTATGCAATTATTTTTTAAATATTATTATATACTATAATATATTGTTAAAAATTAAATTTATTATTATACCTTATATTTGCTGAGTTCTGCGTCAAACAATTCTTGACTAAGGGACGGGTAGTTTGATTTCAAATTTTGAAACAATGACCGAAATCTGTAATTATAGACAATAAATAAATAAATTTATATACCAGGGTTAAGCAAGGAGATGAATATGAGTTATGGCAAAAATACCTTCCTCTATACCCCTATATACCCTTACAAAAGACTATACCTCTATACTCTATACATTCTATCCCTTTAAAGGGGACCCCTTTATCCTAAATTACAAAAGATTGCTTAACTCTAATAAATATATACTATATATATATACTGTATATAGCATTTTATTAAACTTTTGTAATTAATTACAACTAACTAAAAATATATAGCTTAAACAACAGTATTTATTTGATTGCAATTATTAGAAAAAATATTATTCAATAACTCACTTGTTTTCAAAATGACTGAAATCATCAGCAATCAGATCAGCCATTCTGATACCTATACGACTGACCTATAAATATAATAAATAAAAATTATGTGTTAGAAGTTTTTATTTATTTAAAAAAATAATACCATTTTAACTTTGATATTTATTAACTAACTTTTGTAGTATAGGTGGGACCGATACCCATTTTAGTGGTACCGATACTATTTGAACCCTTTCGAAGCTCTTGTAGACCATCGATGGTCTGATGAAAATCAAAAACTAAAATATATGATTTTAAAATAACGAAAAAAATATGTTAGTGTTAGACAAGTGTTAGTTTATATAATTAATTTGTTGTTATAGTTGTTGTAGTCGTTGTTGTATATATAAGTTAAAAGAAAAAAATAAGATTTTATTTTTTTTACAAATTATATATTTTTTTCTAATTAATACCAATGTGTGCCCTATCAGAGATTAGTAGTCGATGTTTCCAATTATTGTTTAAATCATTCAATTTTATTTTTGATTGATTTTCATAGATTTCATCAATTAGTTGCTTTAAATGTATAACACATCCATTGCCTAAAACGGCCGTACATTTTTGATTAGTATAGCCACACGGCAACATATGAAACACATAGATATCATTATCACCAACTACTACTGTATGACCAGAATTATTGCCGGCCTATAAATAATTTATATATATTTATCGTATAATAAATATTATTTATATAAGTATATAAGACCACATATATATATTGATATAATAAGATGTTTAAATAAAAATATTATTTTGTTGTATTTAATGATTACCTGACATCGGCAGCAAATATCAGCATCAGTTGACAATAAGTCGACAATCTTGCCTTTGCCCTCATCGCCCCATTGGGCGCCTAAAACAACCGATGCTTTTGAACCGACTGTACATTGATTATTGCTTTCGTTCATATTATTATTAATCAGTTTTCTATTGTTATCTATATTAGACATAAAGATTGGATATTAGACAACAAACTAATACAAACTAAAAAAATATCACTATATATAAAGTATATAATATCTTAATATTTCTTTTTTGCTGTTGTTGTGGAAACTATAAAATATTTATCATATTGTAAATTACAACCATAACTAACAATTTGTAATGTTATGTTAAATCATTAATGAATAATTATATGTAATGATTTTTCCCCTTTTTATTTTTTTCTACTGTATATATCTAAACGCAATTTTATACATATACTGTATTATTATTATTATTATTAGTTATTGTTAATTAATACTAATTGTTTTTTTTTAAATCAGACGTCAGTATTAAACAATTAAAAAATTAAATGTCAATTCATTTAATAATTCTATTCAAAACTTTTTATGTTTATTTAATTATTAACTATTTAAACACAAATTTATTATAAGTAAATTTAATATTTTTTTAATTATATTATAACGTCCTGCGTCGCTACTTCGACGTAAGGGTGAATCGGCTTTAAGTCGCCAATGTCGTAGGCACCATTTAGGTCTCGCACCGACCTGTATCTGTAATATTCGCTCGCCAACGCTATGTAGACTTTTCTCGTTTACGATTCCCCAAAGCTGCACTAGGTCACCCTGCGGTGGCTACTCTACGACGCCGTCGCCTGACCGTGGCCGATCCTAACCATACCCATGAAGTACGTAACGTTACCTCGTCTACTCGGATTGTCGTCTATAAAGTTTGTCTGTCTAGGGGTTAATCGCATCGCGAAGTTATACGTTGTCTAGGGGTTGTTGTATCGCGTAGTCATAAGATGTCTAGGGGTTCTCGACGGCCATCCGATAACCGCCTTCCGGTCGCTCCCGATGTGGCGTTGGTATTACACTGTCGGCCCTTTGGCCTGATCTGGTCGAGACCTCATCTCGAGCCTCAACCGTCTGGCGACGGGAAGCGAGACGATGCCAGTGGTCTCGACTACCTACCAAATGAAGATCAGAGATTCCCTAGCCTCGAACGAACGACTCGGGAGGCGAGACTCTGTCTCAGTAAACAAATCTTACCCGATCCCTGTCCAACACTTACGCGACCATCGTCGCTGGCGAACGCAAGGCCCGAAGGCCTGCGCCTACAAATACTTTAACTTACTGTTGCTGTTGCTAACCGTCACCAATTTATTAATTAAATATATAAAAGTATAATATGGGTTACAATAATAGATACTACACGTCCTCTCGTCTCGGCGTCTCGAACTCAACTCTCCGTCTCTAGTCACTCAAGTGACTTGGGAACAGAGTTCTCGGTACACTTCCCGAGTCGGCGCTCTAATCACACCAATCATATACCACTTATCAATGACACAACTACCTCAACTGCTCTCTTATTGGCTATTACCGTCTCGACCTAGTTAATACGTACCGGTTGTCATTAAATTAGTTATTGCCTCAAAATAATGCAATCAAGGTTTTCTAATGCTATATAGCCTATGTAGTATATTGTATGCTATAGTGTTACTTATCATTATTATATAGTGTCAATTAATGCAGTAGTATTGTATTGGTGTTGTTAGTGCCGCTAACACTGAAATATACTGCTATGTATTATAATGTTATGCTACATACACCGCTGTGTATTATAAGGCTAAACTCAATACACCGCTGTGTATTATGATGCTATGCTTCGTACCTCACTATATAGCTTAAAGCTATGAAGCTATGAAGCTTTAAGGCCTCTACAGAAGCTTAATCTCCGTCAAACGTAACAATATTATTAACATTAGTCACTTGACTTATAATGTAATAAAAAAATTTTAAAAATTCAACAAAATTGTGTAGATTATTACAGTATATTTTATTAAATGTAAATTATTTAATATAAAATTAATAATTCAAAAATTTTGTCAATAACTTATTAAACATATTTTGTGTTATTAAAATTATAATAAAAATATTTTTTTATAATAATAAATCTTATTAACAAATAATTTTGTTGTAAAAGTTTTATTGATTATTACATTTTAATAACATTTAGATACATTACACTAATTTTTAATATATATATATATATATTATATTTTTTATTTTATTTTTTTCAATTTAACAAATTATAGTTTTTTAAATTGACTTTTATTATTAATATCAGTTTTTATTAAAAGTTTAGTTATTAGTAATAAATTTTGTAATTACAAAACATTTACACAAAAAATATTTTAGTTATACAAAACAAAAATAGTTTTAAAATTTTATGACAAAACTGTTATGAGTTTATGGGCACCGATACCACAGTTTGAGAGCACAGTCACACTTAGATTGGCGAACAAACTATTCACATATATAACAATTGTATCAATAGATGATAAAACTATTGACTTTTACTTTTTTCAATATCCAACTAATAAACATATTTTATTAAAAGTAAAATACATAGATAATTATTTAAGTGACTTCAATAAAGTACCAAGTTAATTTAATATCATCATGACAATAATAATTAAACCTAACAATAGCTCACCAGTAAAACAATTTTATTAGTTTATAATATTAAAAAATTGATAAAAAAATTAAATAATTTTTAATTATTTTAATATAAAAATTTAAAAATAATAGCATTACTAATAAAAACATTTTTGTATTTATATTTTACTCTTCAATACAATAGTATAACTTTTAGGGCAAATTACTGTTGAGATGTTTGGGTTTGGATCCAAACCCTGATGACTGTCCAAAACTATATCATAGTTTTGTGTCGATTGTAGAAAACGGACCAAAACTAGAAACAGGTCAGCAATGGCTAAACTTTCGCCCAAACATTGACGACGTCCGACACCGAAAGGTATGAATGCCTGCGAAAAACGGGTTGTACTATAAGTACCGTCAGTATTGTCGATGAAACGGTCGGGTATAAAGTCATCGACATCAGTAGTCGTCCAATATTTTGTGTCCCAATTGTTTCTCAATATAATTCCCTGATTTGCATACAACACCATATCTTTAGGTATCGTATAGTTTCCTTGAAATTTTTGTTTTATTTATTTAAAAAAAACAAAATTAAATTAAAAAATTAATTATCATTTTTAATAAGTAGTTATTACCTATTTTGATGTCAACAATAGTCTTGTGAGATATACCAAGTGGTAAAACATTTCTGAATCTTAACGTTTCGGCTATAAATGCCATCACATAATGACACTGTTGTCTGTCCTGATGTCGGGGCAATCGGTTACCGATTTTCGATTCAATTTCCTGTTTCAATCGGTTCTGCATTTCTGGATAATAGGCCAACAATAGGAGCAACCATTGAAATGTTGTCTCCGATGTCTCGATTCCGGCAAAAAACATATCAAACACACACATTGACAGTCGATCATCGGTTAGATAGTCAGCCGATTTGCGGCCCTCACTGATGGCAACATTTTTAGCTTCAATGAGTGCATCGCAAAAATCTCGTTCAAAATTAGGATTGTAATCAATGTAATGTAATTTGAATTTTTTCAAAATAAATTCACGCATTTCATTGAAGGCTTTACTCTTTTTTTCATAGACTTTACGGTCCAACCATTTCAATGGTTTTAAATATTCTCTGAATTTTGATTTGATTTGAAATTCATTATCAATGTCTTTAAAAACATATTTATATTTTTTAAACTCCTCGTCACTGATAAAATCTCCCCGACTATTAATAATAATATATTAATTTATTAATATTAACATTATTTATACATTTTATTGTTTTTTTTTACTTTTCATTGAACGCACTGTTAGCCAAAATGTTAAGAAATGTCATATATATATAATCGTATGGTTTGATAGGTTTGTCCGGACCCTCCCTTTCCAACATTATTTCAACTGTTTTGTCCACACAATCGACGACTACGTTCTCTAACTGTTCATTCATTGCATATTTCCTAATAATTATTAAATAAAATATTAATTTATTTATATATAAATTTAATAATAATAATAATAATAATAATCTAATATTATTTAATTTAATTTATTTATATTAAAATGATCAATGTACATTGCTGCCACGTGCGCTACACGTCTAAGTGCTCTCCAACTGTGCCCGAAATCAGCCATAGCTACACCATTGGCCAACAATGATGCTAAAAAATAATCATTTATTAATATCATATTTATATATTTACTATACTATAGTAATTTATTTTATAGTAATTATAATTTTTCATTATTTTGTTTTATAAGTTATCTTATAATTATAATAATATATTAAATATTTTTCATAATATTTACTGGATTTATATATATTGTATATATGATATATAGCTATAGTTTTATTAAATTTATTTATTACCGAAATAATTGTGAGATCGACCAGAAAATTCATTTTTACTAAACGCTTGTCTAGCGATGTCGGCATCGGTTATAATAATTTGAGGATTATTACCAAAATAGACTGTAAATATTGGTCCATATTTTTTAGCCATTTCCCTAATCGAGTCGTCCCAAAATTTTGGCAAAATAGCTAATTTAATAATTACTTAATATATATTTTATATTTTTGGTATGCATGTTTTTAAAATGTTCTCTACAAATATTTTATTTGAATTGTTATGATTTTTATTTTTTAATAACTTACTTAACATATTGCCTATTATTGGCAATGGAAATGGACCGGGAGGTAGACTATAATATTGGTAATAAAATTTAGCCAATTTGTAGACTAGAAAACCAAATAATAAAACAAATATTGTTTTCCATAAATCATATACTATTGTATTATTAAGCATAATGTATTTTAATATTTTTTTACAATTTACTAAATAATATATAAATTATTATTTATTTTTTGTTTGTTTGTTTAATTGTATAACATTTGATAAAATTAATAAAAAAAACTATTTGTAAACCCAGTTGTTAACAAACAAAAATATACAATAGTAGTTAATAGCAAACTTAACGATTTAATTGTATATTTTTATATAAATTACATGTTATTATTACTTAACATGAGTAAACTTTTTTATTTGAAATTCTACTAAACTATTAAAAAAGCAATAAATTTTATTAACAATATTATAAGAAAAATTTAAAATTCCTATATGTCAATAATATTCATATAAGATTTTTAATATAATTTATTTTATTCAAATTGTAAGTTAACATGAGTAAACATTTTATATTAGAAACATTTTTTATAGCGATAACAACATTATTAACTAATAAAATAAAATTCTTTAAATTTCTAAATTATAATAAAATAGGTGTCATTTATGTCATCGAATATTTTTTTAGATAATAACATTTAAATACAAATTACATTATCGAATACAATGTTGTGTTTTTTGTTGTAATTCGATTATCTAAAAAAAATTCGACATAAAAACAGTGGTTTTCAAACATCCCAGAATAAATGTGATCACGTGATCAAAATTAAAAATTATATATTTTATACATAATATCAAACGTAAATCACTTTTTAATAGACATTTTACAAAATTTAATTATTTCTCAGTTTAAGAATTATATCCGTTTAAGAACTCCTTTTATTAGACATAAGTAGGGATTGAATTGATTTCTAAATAACTTAAATAAAAGTTAAATAATAAAATCTACAACTTTTACTTAAAAAAATGTTCAAATCTATAGCTCATTAGAATAGAAAATATAATTTATATTATTTATATTATTACAATAAATAGTACCAATACTTTTCAATATTTTGAATAAAATTGAGATATTTAAAAACAAAAATTTCCAATCAGTAAATTTAGTAAATATTATTTATTAATATCAACTTATAATAGAGTTTATTATTGAGAAAAAGAGTTTGATCTAATCGGGAATCGATCACAGTCTGTCTCATTGTAGTTCATAAGTAAGTTAATACAGTTGAGTGTAATTAAACACATATATTAACTAAATAATTAACACTCAAATAAGTCAAATAATTACAAAAATATTGTGTCAAGAAAAAAATATTTTACTAAATGGTTATAATTTGAATGATTAATATACTAAAAAATAGTACAATTTGTAACTTTAGTCCTATTAATGCGTTATATTTATAAAACTAGACAAATAAATAATAATTTATTTTCAATTAATTTTAAATTTATAAGAAAAATATTTCTTACTTTTTATTATTAACATAAAAATAATTAATTTTTTTCTCTCTAACTATGAAAGGAAGGAATATTTTCCGGGAATAAGTTTTGAGGGATTTTATTATATAAACTTACATTTGTGTGAAACCTTCAAATGTTATATAAATACATGTAACAAATATCAATATATATGATACAGTCTATCAATTGATCATAAATTTAATAAAAAATAAATTGCTTTAAACTAATAAAAATTAATTATTTTATTATACCGTATACTATAACTATATATTACTGTATCATACAGTATAATACCTGTAATTTACAAGTGTTGTGTAATATGTGGTGCAATCTATTGATTGAAATACAAACATATAATACATTGAATTACTTATCAAAACATTGAATACATTTAGTAGTGTTTTGTATGCAAACAATATCAACGAAACAATTAGTCGGACAACAAAAACAAAGACAACAATAATGGAGGAGATTATGGCAGCAGTCGATGATCTCATGTTTGACATCGAGAGGGATTTGGACCAACAAGTCGGGGCATTGCCGCTACCATTTCCCGGAATGGACAAATCGGGTGCGGCCACGTGTGTGTTTCATTTGCGCGGTTCATGTGTACGGGCAGCTGCCTGTCCTTATCGGCACATCAAAGCCGATCGGACAGTGGTCTGCAAGCATTGGCTTCGGGGTCTGTGCAAGAAAGGTGATCTTTGCGAGTTTCTTCATGAGTACGATATGTCCAAAATGCCAGAATGCTATTTCTACTCCCGATTTCACGCCTGTAGTAACAAAGAGTGTCCATTCCTGCACATTGATCCCGAATCTAAAGTACGCGACTGTCCGTGGTATGACCGAGGTTTCTGCAGACACGGACCTAACTGTCGTCATCGACACACCCGCCGAGTGGCGTGTATTAACTATTTGTCGGGTTTCTGTCCGGACGGACCCGAATGCAAGTTTGTTCACATGAGATTTGATTTGCCGCTAACGTCCGAACAGTTGACCAACAAGAAGGGTCAAGTGGTCTGTCATTTCTGTAATGAAAGCGGACATAAGATATATCAGTGTCCGGCTATGACTGCCGAACAACGAGAGGAAGCTATTCAACACAAATTAAATCAATTACAAGAACAACAACAACTTCAGCCAAACAACAACCATAACAGTAATAATAATAATAACAACAACTTTAACAACAATTTTAATAACAACTTCAACCACAACAACAACATCAACACTATCGCTGAAATCCAGTATCCGATGACTAACAAGAATAATCTAAACGATGGCCAAAGTAAGGATCAAAAAGAGCGATCGTATCGACCCCTGGATCAGGTGACGTGTTTCAAGTGCGGCGAAAAGGGTCACTACGCCAACAAGTGTCCAAAAGGACATCTGGCTTTCCTAAGCAGTGCTCTTAAGGAACTACAAACCAAACGTGATTTCAATGGCATTAATGATTGATTAATTAATTGACAACAAAAACAAAATGTGTTTATTTTTTATTATTGATTTTTCAAAATATATATTTATATTATTGTACTGAACTATCTTCAGATGGTCGCCGCCAAGTGACCAGTACCTCATCGGTGCGAAATCTTTGTGTACATCCAGTGTCCATCCACTGAGTTCGGTGGCCACTTTGAAACATGATAGCGCCTGTATGTGCAACCATTGCTCCGTTATCGATGCAATATCTATCATCGGTGGCGAATACTTTGGCACCCCTTTCCTCTGCCATAATTGCCATCATTTGCTGAAGTCTTAGATTACAGGCAACGCCTCCGACGATAAGTACTTCTTGAGACTCCATGAGAGCCATTGCCCTCTCAGTTGTCTCGACGAGCATTGAAAATATAGTCTCTTGTAATGAATAGCATAGATCTTCGGCACTGTATTCGCCATTTTCTAGCCATTGTATGGCTCTCTTCTGTTTCAATAATCAGATAATAATAATAATAGTTAGCATATTATATGTAAATTTAATTAAATTTTTTTTTATAATAAATTATTGAAATAAATCTATAACTGTTGGTCACACAAACCTCGATAAATGAAAGTAAACCTGAAAATGATAGGTCCATCCCTTTGACAACATATGGCAAATGAACAAACTTATGGCCACTATATAAATGATTAGTCAATTATTATGACATTATTTAGATTACCGTAAATTAACCTACTTTTTGGCCAACTGTTCAATATTATAGCCAGGACTGGGATCATTAGATAACTACAGGTAAATAATATCAAATAAAAACATAAGCATTGATTGGTTAATCAAATTATTGTTTTACAATACTTTCAAGACTCGGGCAAATCTGTCCAAACAGTTGCCGACAGCGATATCAAGTGTTTCGCCAAATATCCTGTATTTGTCGTTACTATAAGCTATGACTTGTGTGTTACCACCGCTTACGTAAAGGACAATTGGGTTTTGCGCTCCGGTAACTAAACGACCCATTTCAATGTCTGTCCATTTCAATTGACAATTAATTAATTAATTAGTCCAATCAATTAACGAGACATACGTGCGATACAATGGTTGACACCAATTAACGGTTTGTCCCACAATTGGGCCACAGTTCGGGCCACTAAAGCTACCGTTACCAGTGGTGCAGCCATTCCTGGTCCTCGTGTATAGCAAACCACATCGATATCGTTGCCGCTAATGTTTGCCTCTTTAAGCGCTTTGTCCAATACGGCCAACACATGACTTCGGTGATGTTGAGCTGTCTTTCTCGGTTCAAAGCCTACCCCACAATGGGATCAATTAATATAACAAATAATCATCAATCATACTGTGTGTGTGTGTGTCTGTATACTGTATATCATACCCTCTCCGGGAGGTGTTATATAAGTATGTCTAGGATTGGCCAACACTTGTCCATCTTTAACAATACCAATACCTAACTTATTAGCACTTCCTTCAAAACCAATTGACACAACCATTATGTTTACAAACACTGTATAACACACACACAAACACGTGGTTCATATCAATCACATGTTTATGTATTAGGCTATAGTTTGGCGCCAATACAGCCAAAAAACATTACATAACTTTTAAGGTAATTTAAAATCTAAATATTCATTGAAATTAGTGCCCAATTTTTATTAATCATAATTTTATTTTTGTTGTAACAAATATATATTAAATATTTTATTAATTAATATTCATTGAAAATTTGAAATAATATTATAATCAACAGACATTATATATATATACTCTAATTTATTATCGATTGTATATTTTTTAGAAAGTATTGTCAATATAAATGTGTTTTTTAATTGAATCAATTATAAGCAATGCTATTATACTGTATATATTTATATAACAATAAGCATTTTTTACAGATACTATACAATTTACAATTTAATATAATAACCAATACATAATAGCATGAGATAATTTAATAACTTATATGTTAACTTATATGTATGTATCTTATTTGTGTATGACTTAATTTAATTTAATTTATACATTAATCTAACTATTATTATGAATTATCTAATAATTAATGTTAACAATGAAAATATGATTTGTTGAATAATTAATTGCATGTCATTTAATATAATAACTATAATGAGTTTAATTTACAAAAAGAAAATTATTATTATTTAGTCAAAACTGTGTGTCACTTGAGGTAAGCCCTGTAAAGCATAGGTTTTCTTACGGTGTCTTTTTCCATCTCCATCAAGAAATGAAGATCTTTAAGACTGACACGTTTTATACGTCTCATCTGTGAAAAACATAACATTATGTATCATTAATTCAATAATCTATATATTGTTTTAATTTAGCAATTAATTACAGGCTTTGATGGTGTGCTTGAATTGAATAAAAATGTATTATTAAGGCTTGGATTGAGTGGTGAAGAGCCGACCAATGAATTATTATTATTATTGTTCATTGAATTGAAACTTGTTTTCAGTCTCTTCTTAGGATTGCCGATCGCTTGCAAAGCAGTTTCATTGGCCTCTCGTTGTCTCAATTCTTCCATTTCTTGTCTTTGCATTTCTTTAGCCTTTAGTTTGATAGCGATGTGATCCGGATCGTCAGCTTTCGATCGACTCTAATGTTATTTATATATTAAACACAAAAATTATTAATATTAATATCAAAATTAATATTAATATTACAAATCATATTCAAAACAAATAATCTGTACTTTAGCTGCTTTTATAAGCACTTCTCGCTCTTGTTCTTCATGTCTTCGTTTCTCAATGCGATCTAACTCTTGAAGAAACATTGTCTGTCCCTTAACGTCTTGTAGTACATCATAGTTCATATAATTCTATTCAATTAATTAACAAAACAATTATTAATTACCGATAATTAAAAAATGAAATAATTATTGTTTGAAAATACATTACTTTGATCTGTTCCTGTCTGTGCTCAGCAATAGCACCCAATTTTTCGACTAATGTTTTCAGCCTTTCCTGAACAGCATGCGATACGAGTGATACAACTTCAGGCGAGCATTCATCCAAACCATACTTATTTGCTAAACAACATAATAATAATTAAAATCAATTATATTAGTCATCACACATACACTTATGGTAACCGTTTTTTACTAATAAATACATGTTTAATACAATTTTAATGTTAGTTTATAAAAAAAAGTTAACAAAAAATAACTACCGATTTGATTGATTTTCTTATGCAATGGTGTGGTATATAGAAAGTCTTCATCTTTACAGGACCTGATCTGTTGGCCAACAGTCTCGGCGTTTGACAAAATTCGTTGGCTTTCTTCTTGTAGGTTAACTCCACCCATAGCCGCCACATCGTTAATATCGTCGTCGTCTCTGAGCGATGACGAGGAGAAGGCATTCTTTTTCTCTTTTTCTTTGGTTGTGGCGGCAGTCGATCGCGATTTATTGGCCGATGACTTGGATGAACCACGATTACCAGTCGATGATGGTGTAGACGTTGACTGTTTTGTGTGGACAACATTGTGAACTAATGGACTTTGTACTCGTTGACCACCACTTGATAGTGTAGTCGTATTAACCGATGTTACTACAGGACTGGGCTGCGTACTCATCAAACTGGTCATCGGTGTTAATAACCTAACAGTTTGTTGTAGTCCCGGTGCTCGCGGTGGTGTTTGTGCAATCTATTATCAATCATTACCAATATTATTATAATCAATTCATAAAAATTTACTCATCGATTGCCATAATAATACTAATTACTTGAATTTGTGGAATATTCTGTGTCTGTAGCGGTAATGTAACGGTTCCATTAGGTGGTGGTCTCACACCTTCGATGGTCAACTCTTTTTGCATTAATGAAAATCGAAGGTATGGCAGACTTTTCTGTTAAACAAAAATCAATTTCAAATAAAAACAATCATTTAGTGGTAATTATGGTAAATATATATACCTTTAGAAATGGTACTAAACAAGGCTGTGGAGATGAGTTAAGTTCTCGTTGTAATTGATTGGTAAAGTCTTCCGGTTGTATTGCATCGTCCTTTGAATTTCATTTATTTTATTAATCATTAAATTAATAACAATTTATTTCTTTTCAATAATATTACATACAATTAGTCCTTGAATTAGATTCTTGACATTATTGGCTACATTTGGCGGCTGATCACTGGCTAGACGTATAAGTGTTGACAAAAAGTTTTTACATTTTTTCTTAGCCGTATTGGGCGACATTTGCGATGGTGTTGAGGCGGGCGCCTGTTGGTTGGCAGTTGTTGTTGATATATGTAATGGTTGATGTGCTGCTGCAGCAGCTGCTGCTTGTGTTGCTGCAGCTATAGTAGTCGTCTTGTTGGTCGACATCGATACCGACTGCGACATCGAAACGGGTAGTACTATGTGTTGCTGATTAGGCCTAACAGGTGTAGCTGTTGTGTTGGGTGTTGCGTTACCGGTGTTGGGCGGCATTTGCAACCGAAAAGTTGTGGCCGTGTTTGTTGCTGATGTTTGCGGTGTAGGCGGTGGCCCGACATTAACCATATGCACTTGTCCATTCTCAGTCTTTACAAATATAGTTCCCGCCCGAACCAAATTTGATGGCAATGTTATTGTTCCCTAAATATTCAAATGTTAATACATTATAAACACAATCAATACAATCTATGAGAACATACCTGTCCGGCAAATCCTGTATTTCCCGGTCTAATGAGTTGTGGCGTTAGGCGAACGTTATGCGGTAACTGAACAACACGTGGAGCTAAAGTTCTGGCCGCTGGACCCATATTGGCATTGGGTGTATGCGGACGACTAGTCACTAATTGGAGCTGAATTTGGTTACCACTGTTTGTCATCAATTGTTGCATAACATTACCACTATGTGGAGCACTGCTAGTATTCACTGTTCTCGATGCTAATGTCACTACCGATGCCGTTGTTGTCACAGCACTGTTGTTGATGTTATTGCTGATAATGTTGTTATGATGACCATCAGGTGTGCCATGAGATGGCTGAACAATCATTGGGCCGTCTTTGGTCGTCGCTATCAATAATGTTTGTCCCGGTTTTGGTGTCACACCTACGGGATTCTTGTTTGGTGTTAACACTAAGGATGGTGTCAGCCCTCCCAACGATATAGTTGTTGGCGTACGTATCGTATCGGTGTTGTTGCCGACATTCAGACCGGTGTTACCGTTTGACATTAGATTCTTCATTACTTGATTAGCCGCCACTCCACTCATCGGTAAACTCTACAACAAATAAATCAAAATAAATATCACATTAATTATGAACACTAATAAATATATATATATATAAAGTAATTATTACCGATGTGTTGGCCACTACCTGCGATATGTAACCACTGGCCGGAAGAGCTCCGGGAAGGGATGTAGGGGTCGATGTGGTGGTTGTAGATGTCGTCGATAGTTGTGGTAATGGTTGAGGTAATGTCATCAATGGTTTACTATCGTTATTATTATTATTATTATTACTATTATTATTACTATTATTACTAATATTATTGTTATTATTGTTATTATTGCCAATATTACCACCGATGGTGTGGTTCATCTCAGTCTTATTGATGATAATATTGTTGTTAACAATCACTTTGTTGTTGTCATCACTGTTGTTGTTGTTGTTGATAGTCTCCTGAACTGTAGTGATGTCTCCTGTATTAGTGTTGAGCATAATGTGTGATCAAATAGTTTGATCCAGTCTTTAGATGTGATTGTTGTTGTCGTCCACAATGTTTGACACAAACATCAACTTCAGTGACGACTCACTACTCAATCACTACTATTAGTATTGAACGCCATTTGCAAACATATAATAAACAGATTAAACATAATATACTCTATAATATTCATACACATAGTTAGTCCAACCTCTCTCTTATCATAAAAAGGACATATTTTATTACATTTATATACTGTGCATTTGGTTCTATATTAGAGTTTAAAATAGATTTCAATGATTAACTACTGTTACACAATTTCCATACAATATTTATACCCCAATCAGTATTTACAGTAATAGTCAAGTGTTATACTGTATTCAATACTCCCCCTCATTGTATACACATTACTATACTGTACAGTAGTTTTGCATTTTAAATGTTAAAAATTAAATAATATTTTATTAAATAAAAACATATATATATATTAATTTACATTCAATGTTTAGTATAATATAGTTGTTAGTAATTGTTTAACTCAATTATACCTAAATTATACATAAAATAGATTATTAGAAATTTTTGTTAATCAATGACTATTAGTTAGTTAACTGTTTAGAGTTGTATTAATACTATACTTTTGAAACACATTATTACAGTATTAATATCATTATTATTGTATTACTTATAGTTTGGTATAATATTGTTGTCATATAAACTGTATATAAATGTATTAATAGGAATATACCGTATATACAGTAGTAATATATAAATATATTAATAATTTTTGTCATTTATTAAACTTTGGATATTTTGTATAAATAAAAGTTGATTTTTTTGTTAATGAATATCTATTATCTATGGGTTTATTATTATTACTATTATTACTATAAAACTTTTGATATATGTATTAATATTAATAGTAAATGTTGTATACGTTGTATATGTATTGACTGTATATATGTATTGAACAGTTGATGCTATGACTGTATAGTCTATGACTGTATAGTGAGTGTGAGTGTGATGTGAGTCCCCCTTAAACTGTATATAAGTAGTGATGTGTTTGAATAAAATGTATTCATTGTATTGTTTGACTGTTGAATGTATTGGTTGGACACTCACTGCTAGACTCTCTCTACTCTAGTATTTAGTTGACTATTGACTGACTGAATGGTTATGAGAGCGCTATTGTGTGAAAAAAATATTATATTATTATATTATTAACTGATTTGATCACACATTTTGAGGGATCAACTCTTTGGATATACTCTTTTGAAGACATATTATTGATCTTCAATTGATTTTGATTAGTATTATCACTAAACAATAGAGAAGACAATGTCAGTAACGACGACACCATTTCTTGGTTGTAAAATATCATTGATCTCTAAGTCTGAGATCAGATATGAAGGCATTCTCTATACTATTGATCCCAAAGAGTCGACCATTGCTTTGGCAAAAGGTTTGTATAAATTAGATGATAATATACGAAGAAAATGGTAATAATGACATATAATGTTTGATTTATATTATTATCTTTAAATAGTCCGCTCGTATGGCACTGAGGACCGACCCGTTGAACGTCAAGTGCCTCCAAGAGATGAAATATTTGAGTACATAATCTTCAGAGCCGGTGACATAAAAGATCTGATTGTTGACGACCCGCCCGCTACTATTGCTCCCGGATTGGCCGATCCGGCAATCATTCAAGCGGTAATACTCTAATAATTAATATACAAATTGGTAAAAACATTACTAATTTTGTTTGACAACCTCTACCACAGCACTCAACTTCGAGCACATCCGGTGCTACATTTCCATCTACAACATTTCCAGAGATCACCCGTAACTCGAACTCGAACAGCGTGACGTCTGGCCAGAGACCATCGGGCGCTGCATTCAGTTCGGGTCAAAATGCTATAAATTCATTAACTATGGGAACAGGATTCAAGTCTAGTGCGTCCAATGAGTCGCGATCGCAAAACTCGACGCCCACTACTACTGGCCAACAACAGCAACATCAACAACAAAATCGTCAGCAACAGAGTCCTCATTTAGATGGACAGTCATCGGCGGCCCAACAATCGAATCAAAACAGACAAAATATTCATAAAGATAACTATAAGAGAAACGAAAGGAGCGGTCAAATGCCGCAAATGCGTAGAGGAGGACCACAGGGTGGATATGGAGGGGGAGGCGGCGGTAATAGAGATGGTGGTGGAGGAGGAGGAGGACACGGACCCCAGCAAAACTATTATACAAATAGACGCGGATCCGGTCAACCAAACTATAGACAACAAAACCAAAGCCATTCACAACCACCGCAGACTAACAATCGTTTTGGTAATTATAATAATCGGCAATTCAACAACAATTACTCGAATATAAATCAACGACGACCTGGTGGTGGCCAATCTCGTCCTCAGAATCGCGGCGGTCCTCATAATCGGGTATCGAATCGCGGCACAAAAGAGCCGATAAAATTTGAAAACGATTTCGATTTTGAAAAAGGTTTAGAAGAGTTTTCCGAAATGGAAAAAAAGTTTAGTAATTTGAAAGTCGATACCAATAATACTGATGAACAACAGCCTAAAGAAGGCGACATCAAACAAGAAGAGACCAATACTACAGATAATAATAGCATTGAGAACACGGCTAATGGAGATAAAGAAAACTTAGAAAACGATCCGTTTTATGATAAGGCAAAGTCTTTCTTCGATACCATCAGTTGTGAAGCTATTGAACGCGAAAAAGGGTATAAATTAATACAAATATTAAATATTTGACAACAAAATTAAAAAAAACAATTGATATATAATTTTTTATTTTTTTGGTAGAAATGTTCAGCGCATCGATTGGAAAGCCGAACGCAAACTTAATTCAGAAACTTTTGGCGTTCCTATGAGTTATCGACGAGGCTTTGGTCGCGGACGCGGTGGTTATGGTCACCGGGGTTACCGAAGTTATTATAGAGGCGGTGGCTTTTCCCGTGGCGGCTCTGGAGGTGGTGGAGGAAGTGGCGACACTCGTCGATATAAATCGTCAAATCAACAACAAAATCAACGCAATTAAGGCGTGTTTTTAATCACACATACACACAATGGCTCCGGATTTGAATAATTTATTTTTTTTGTTAGCCTTTATTGCAAATTTAATATTAAAAATTAATATCTTTATTGTCAAAATTACTTAAAAAAAACAAATTGCTTGCAATTGAATTTATCAGTTAAGTGTCCATTTTCAACACACATAAACAAATACATTGATTGCACGCAATGTGACTAAAAAGAAATGATTATAAAAAAAACTAAACACTAAACAAAATAAATACAACAAATTTTTAATTTAAATACGAATATAATAATAACAATACAAATTAAATTTCATTTTGAAAAAACATCTGTACTCTTGAAAAGTAGTGACTAATTAAAAATAATATATATATATATATATTGAAATCGATAACAATTGTCATATAATTTATTAATTATAATATAATAATTGTGTGAATATATATGGTGTGAATGTTATAATAATTATCTTATTTTATATAACCATTTGTTTGTTTGCTTTTCATTTCATACGTTGTATTTTAGGTCTGGTTTCAGTATAGAAGATGTCTTGCATTTCTCGGCGACGTTTGGCTCTACTCTTCTCTTCCTCTTTCCAGTCGTCGTTTCTGTTCTTATAGTGATAAAGACCGGCCTTTTTGGCCAAATGATAGCCATTGCGAGTACTATTGAGTTGCGACTCTCGGGCCACCAACTCATCCATTATACTGGACTTGAGTTTGAAGTCTACACTACTTAAGATATGGTCGACAATTCGAGAGCCGAACCGATCGTTAGCCATATCGACATAACAGCCTCGAAGTTGATCAATGAGTTGAGCCTTTTGTTTCGGTGTCACAGTTTGGCTCTGAAGGAATGTCTCGATCACATGACTGCCACTCTTATCGTTGGCGATCCAAACAATCTCTTTGGGCTCCAATGCTAACAAACTTCTGGTCACTTTATAGGGATCGTCGAAACCGAATATGTATTGCAACATAAGCGACCCGTGAAGCCAAATATCTACCTTTCCGTACGGTTGTCGCGACGATGATGATGACTGTTGTTCGCTAAACAACATGACAGGCACTAACTGTATTTGACGCTCTTTTGGTTCAAAACAATTGTATGATTTCATCAATGCCTATAAAACAACAAATCCAAGACATTATAAAATTAAGATCAATTAAGTCATTGAATGCTCTTTACATGTATGAACTCCTGTTGCGACGGCGGGAATCTCTGACACGCCTTTGACAGACAGACACCAATACCGGGTCTATTGTTGCGAAATATTGAACTCAAACTCGGAAATAATTCTTCACAGATATCTGAGAACTAAATGCAAAACAATTGATACAATAAGTTGGACTTAATTCAAGACAAATATAATTTTTTTTGTTTCTATCAATAGGTTTTGTGTGGAGCTGTGAAACAACAATAACAACAAACAGATTGTGAATATAAATTGTGATTAATTGATTGATTAATAATTTTTGGTGTATTATTAATAATAACTAAAACACTACTAATTTGATAATACAAGTGTGATATCCAATAATAATAATAATAATAATAGTGACCATAAATGCCTACCAATGCTTGTTGTTGTGTAGCGTCGATAAGCCGCTGAACGATGAAGTTTGCGATATCGTGTTTCCACATAATCTTGAGATTGCCTTTCAAATGCTTATTCCAGAGACGCATCAATCGATGATCACTGGCCACAAGTATGACCGCTTCGACTAAGTAGGCGCTCACCGAACTCGTGGTGATAGCAAACTTACTTTCGTCGTTGAGGAATATGATTTCGACTAAACGTTTGACCACTACTTGACAGAGCTCTGTGTAGCGGACTTTGAGCACAAATAGCAAGTATTGGACTAAAGAGGTTGCTTTGCCTAAAATTATTTCCTTCATTTCGCGTTCATTTCTCTCGAGTACCAGTGCTTTGGAGAACCGTTTCAATAGATGTTTGAAAGTGATGGGCAACTCTTTGATGATGACATCCTTTTCGATCTCTGTGTGTATATTTGTTTTCATTGCAAATCCCATTGTTTTACGACTCCAGTGTCGACCAACTCTAATACCTCCCAATGCTTCCAATGTTGTGGTCATAACATGAGAGCCATTGGTGTCCTCAAGTAATTGATTAAAGTGTTGGATAGTCAACTTTCCGATGTCGTGCAACCATTGAGTAGTCCACTTGATATGACGTTCGCTACCGCCTGCGGTTTGTTGACTTTCTTTAGACAATATCTTGAGTGTTGCCTCAATGAGCGCCTGTAGGACACAACTGCTACTCTGATTCATTAGGAAATCCAATGATATGGTCGACACACATATCCTTTCGGCCAACTTTCGGATCAGTTCGGCGTTTCCAGTGTTTTCAATCAACCATTGAATACAAAGACTTGAATGTTTGTGTTGTGATAATACCACTTCTTGACCACTAATACTATTGCAGATACTTTCGCTAAACAGTTCTATAAATTAAACAACAAATTATTACCAAAAAATTATTTAATTATTTAGACATTTAAACTTTATTTTTGCTTTTCTCACATACATTCATATGAATATATAATAATAATATTTTTAACATTTCCTTATTTTTTTAGGTTGTAGTCAGTAATAACTACAGTAGTGCTTAATATTTCAATTTATTAATCGGATAATAATTATTGAAATACTTAATTAATTTTAATTATATTTTTATTGTTGACAAATTTATTATAACAATTTAATTTTTTTTCGCAATTAATCGTATTAGTTATATTTAATTATAAAAATTTGGCCAATTATTTAATTATATATAAAATTGAATGACATTTGACAATATATATATATATATATATAGCTATTTATACTGTTATATATTATTTACATTTAGATACACCGGTAATATAATGTAATTATTATATAATAAATCTATAACTATACTAATTACTTATTATTATTGATACATCTATAATATCCAAACATTTAATGGTAACATTATATTCAATCAAAATGTAGTTTTTTACTCATTAAATAAACATTAATATATATATATAAAAGTATATATAAAAGTTTAAACTATTTTTGACTTTTTAATTGATAGTTTTGTATTAATTTGTTAATATATTGATAATCCTGTTGTTAAAAAAGTTTGTCACAAAAAAATATAAATAAATGACAAATATTTGATATTATAGGAAAATTAATAATAAAATACGTGTCAATATTATTATTATTATTTTTATAATAATCATCACTAAAAAAACATTCAAATATTTATTCGTCATTTAATGAAAATGTGTTTTTTTTATTTCCAATAATCAACTTCTAATAAATTAATATAAAAAAAACTAATATTTAATATTATAATTAATATATATATAAAGTAAATGAATATTATTAATAATATGGCAATTTATATTTAATTACTTTTATATTTACAATTTTACATTAAAAAATGTACATTAATTGATATTTGTAATAGTACCTAGTTTAAATAAATATATGCAATATTGATTAATATTTGTTTTAAATAAATATACATAAACTGTATAATAAATTATTTTACCAACTTAACTTTATATTTAAATAATCTATATATTATTTACCATGTTATAAATTATTTTATATATATATATTTACTAAACAATTGCTATACAGTACATAAAATACATGTTGAATACAGTATTCAAACATAATTAATATAATAAAAAATCTATAAATATATATAAAAAAAATATTTCAAATTAAAACACAAATACATTTATATATTTTAATATATTCAGTCAAATACTACGACTACATAAATATTGAACGAAACAAACACTAAGAAAAAAGTCTATTATATTATAATATTCAGTATTATATGACTGTATATTACTTTATAATAAAAAATAACATAAATTTTTTATATTAAATGATGAGAAAAGTCGTCAATATTTTTGCGTTCAATTAATAAGTATTGTAGAGAAATATCATATTTTTTCTGACAAACACTTTGCATATATAATAATATATATATAATATTATTATTATTATTAAATAAATAGGTATATAGTAGTAATAGGCAATAGTTGACAACTAGTTTCAATAATAATGACCTATATTTTTCACCTATCGTTTTTAATGTAATAAAAAAAATTATAATAATTACAATCATGTAATCAGTATAAAAACATGTGTACTAATAATAATTGAATATCTATTTGACGATGATGACAATAATTGATCATGATCAAATTGGATATATATTTATATATATATTTGATAGTATATCCTATCCTCTAAATAGTCAATAGATATGATTTCAATGGGAAATATATGTTTTGATTGCATTATTATAATAAATAACTGTAAATACATTAATAAAAAAAAATGAAATAACTATTGATATGATTGTATTGAATGAATGAAAACCTTTATCGTTGACATCCCTGAAGTCGTCGTGTATTCTGTAAGACATTCTCATAAAGTAATCAAAATCATAGAAATGGTCCGGAGATGCACTTCGACGGGATGTTACCACCGATGACGGCGACGAACCGCCAACTGATGCCGAATTACCACTCATTGCTTATGTATTAAATAAATAATACAACAAATTATATGATACTAAAACAGTGTGTGACTATACTATCCGTTTTATATACAGTATGACTACACTGTTTCATACACTTGTACTACTAATACAGTACAACAACAACATATCAACATTACATTTAACATTACGCTAATAACAAATGTGCGCTAAACATACATACATACATACAGTCAGTACATTACAGTACAGCACACATACATGTTGTTGTTTGGGTGCCATCCGATGGACAAACAATGCAAACATCAATAAACCCAATGTCTTATAGAAATTTTATTAATCATTTCAAAATAAGTCATTTAAATTATTATTAAATATTATTTTCTAATTTATAAATTCAATTATATATAAATACTGTATTAAATTAAAAATATATGGCACAATATTGATATGTTAAATAAATATAAATAATATAAATATTACAACAGTATTAGTATTAGCGATATATTAGAAATATACTGCATGTATGGATAAGGAGGAGTATGCGCTTAGTTGATAGGCATCCCTACAATTGCTACCATCTCTAGCATCCCTACCATCCCTGTTAGTGTGGTATCATTGATGGATTGTATGCTTTTAAAAATAGTATACAATATTATATATATATATAAATTTATATATATATATTATATAGACTCTAAATGTATGCTATGGTCCGACATTGCATTTGTAGGTCATTTGTAGACTTATAAACATTAAACAATGTCTTACAATGTATTCAATGAATTGAATTAAATTCTGTGATTCTGTGATTCTCTCATTCATTTCACTAATTATTAATTTCATGTTATTTTCATTTATATCAATGTTATTATAATTAATTTAATACATATATTCAATATGTTTATACCAACAGTTATTTCATTTGTTTTTATATTATTTAATATTGGCTTACCTTCTGGTAATGACTATTATTATATTTATTTAAATTGATATATAATTAGATAATTTGAATTATACTATAAATATTTACAATTTTTATTTAAGTAATCTATTTTTCATCATTATATAAATGACATATACTGTACATATTTATATATAAATAATTGCATTCAGAATAATTTTTATAAATTCTTTAATTTAATAATATGTAAAAAAAATATATACATTTATTTTAATCATTTAGTTTTAGTATATTATTATATGAATGTTATAAAATTTTTAAAAAACCATATAAATTATTAATTGTTATCATTTAATGACAGCTAAAGAAATACCACGATTGCCATCAATGAGTGCTCACATTGATTCAGACCGTAGTATCAATTGTTATAATTTTAGTGTAGGAAATGGCAACTTATTTGAATTTTTTTCACCTAATTATCCAAATAATTATCCCAACGATACTGAATGCGAACGAGTTATTAAAGGTATGTTTTTATAATAAAATATTATTATTTATTTTTTTCCAATTAATTACTAATTCTATGAAATATAATTGAATTATTAAGTATTATAATAATATATAAGTAACAATGATACTAGTACATAATAACTTAGCAAATAAGCATGCTAAATTAGATTTATATATTAATAAATATTTATTATGATAATTATTTTTTTAGTTAAAAAAAAGTTTAGTTTAATAACTAGGTTTTAATTTTGTTTAGATTCATATGAGACCAGTATTTAATAATAAAGTATAATAATATTAAATTTAATTAATTAAAGCTAAATTTAATTGTTGACCTCTTTTTTTTGTTTATTTGTTTGTTTTTAGCACCTCATGGCCATCAAATAAGTATTGAATTTCGTGATCAGTTTCATCTGGAAGAGGCAACCAATTGTGAATACGACTATTTGGAGATCCGTGACGGCGCTTACGGCTATTCAAATATTATTGCCAAACTATGCGGACATGAGTTCCCCAGAGATATCATAAGCAACGATCGCTATCTATTCCTACGATTTGTATCCGACGAAAGTATCCAATATTCTGGCTTTCGGGCCGTCTATTCATTTAAAAAACTGCACAGTATGTCATCATTTTAGCAAATTTTTTTGCCACATATCATACATACAAATCAAAATTATTTTTTTTGCTACCTATTGCTCCTTTTTGTGTTTTATATTTATAATTTAATAATATTAATTAAAGTATACAACAAAAATAATAATTATATTAAAAATTTGTTATTGTTATTAATTAATGTAAACTTATTATTATTATTATTATCATTGTTACAGTTCAACGACCGGAACCACCAAGGGGTAAGATATATTTATATTAATTTTTTTTTTAAATTTTATTGTTTAAATATTAAAAAAGTTTGAGTAAAACAATAATGATTGATTACATTACATATATATATATATATATATATTTATATACAGAATGTCGATTCAATAAGACGGGTGTGAGTGGAATCATACATCATAGAGAAATACCACCAGAATTACAGAATTATTCAATTGTCGAGGAATTATCCATCGATTGTATTTGGAATATCACTGTAAGACCCGGTTATCAGGTATTGATATGGAAAACAATTATTAATTAAATTAAGAAATTTATTTTTTCAAAAAAAACTACAGATTATTAGCACACATATACAGCTGTTTGATAATTAATTATTAAATAAATAATTGTTTTTTTTAAAAAAAATAGATGTATTTGACATTCAATGATTATGGCCTAACAATTCCCAATAACTGTGAATCCAATTATATCGATGTATACAACGATAAGTTGAGTGAATCGTCTCGCGAGCAGCGCTTCTGCGGTACGAAAGCAGAATCTGTTCGCTCGAAATCCAATACAATGAATATCCGATTCTTTGCCAAACCCAAGGCTATCGAAGGCGTAAAGTTTGAAATTATTTTTACCGCTTTTAGGGAACTACCTAATAAAGGTTTGTATATATATATATATATATATATATTTTACCTGTATATACAGTTTCTCTTAATTATCAACACATATAACTAATTAATTTTGTCGACACCTCCAGAAAAATGTCGTAGCGATGAATTTGATTGCGCGGACAGCACTTGCATTGACCAGAGTCTCAAATGTGATGGTTATGACAATTGTAAATATCGTTACGATGAAGACAAACAAACTACTTGTGCTCCAAGTAATTGATTGACTGATTGATTGATCGATTTGTTTATAAATATATATATATATATATTAATTGTTATAACTTATTGTTTTAATGTATTTTAATTGTACAGAAAGTGGTGGTATATTTAACTTCACGTCCCAACATATGGTCGTAATATTAGTAGTGTTTTGTGCACTGGTGTTGGGTATGTGCGCCTCAATAACCATCTCGTGTTGGAGTAAAATCCAAGAGAGAAGACAACGAAAACGCGATTATAAGCTTCGGAGGTCAAGGGAGACATCAGTCGAAGTTGGATTAGACCGGACAATGACTATCACTAGTTTGGATCGTTCGGCACTCGAGAATGAAATCGCTGCTCAACAACAAGTACTCGGATCAGTCGGTAGGACACGAAAGATGATAACAACGGCCAACACTATCTCAAGAAAGAGTGGTTTTCACAACGACGACGAACTCAATGGTTGTTATGTACCGGAAGTCGATTTAAGTGTATTCCGCAAACAACCAAACGGTGCCACACAACAGCTCATTGACGATAAATTTTCACCCGACTCACCAACTCATATGATTATGTCTAATCAAATATCACCCGATTGTCAACATTATTATAGTCATCAACAGCAAAGAGATTCCATGCGTAGCAGTTCAGAGAGTCCGATACCACCTCCACCACCGCCACCGATGTTGAGTCATATGAGATCCAGACAACGGACTGTTCCGTTAGACGCCAGCAAATTAGACTCGTGTTCGCCAACTAATGACAATCACCATCTGATGGAACAGAGTCTTCACGGACATCAGTCGTCTGTACCGCAAATGCATCGACCAGACTGTGCCCAACACACCAACAATTCTCCAGACTATTCATTAAGAACTGTTAAACCAGAATATAGTCGATCGGCTTCTGTTCCCATCGGACCTCATGTCAGTGTCATCAACGATGGCAATGACAATGACGATGATTGCGACGACTATTGTTGTGAAGATAACACTGTTGTGCCTTCAGATTCAAGAACTCGGTGTTTCAGAGCTGAGGCTATCATCGAAATGAGTGGTTCGGGTCCAGTGTCTGGTACTGGCCATCGACACCGAGGCTTTGAGACAACCAGATCGGCACCCGATGTGGTAGTCATGCGTTGATAACAACTTATAATAATATATTATTATTATTATTATTACAAATGATAATAGTATTGCTTTTTATATATAATCACCACATTATTGATGATGATGTGCAACATATATGAGATGTGCCAACAGTTTATTGATTAGCAAATACTTTTCAATAACTTTGTATATATTTTGTTAGCAAATCATTAATCAATATATAAATCATATCTTAATCATTGATAACACAAAACATTTCATCGACAAAAAATCAATGATTTAATCTTTTATTTAATGAGTCAAATCTTAATAGTAATAGTATTATAATTATTAGCGCAATTGGCATTTATATCAAAGTCAATCAACCTCTGGGCTCAAACAGTGATTATTATTACAGTATTATTAATAATTATTATTATAATATTATTATTGGTTTTGCTAAAACCGTTATACAGTATATTAATTAATATTTCATATAATATTTAAAAAAAAACTAATAAGTTATGATATATTGCTAACAAAATTGATTTAAATTTTAGCATAACTTTACTCTAATGTCTTCTACTACTATAACATCAATTTTAGTAACTTATCTCTCATGTGCTCACTATTTATACGTATATATCTATATATATATAAATATATATATAAATAAATATATTATATATTTATATATTGAACTGCATTACAGTATATTATTAATAATATATGAAATGTGTTCATTAAATTGATGGTATTTTCTAATTAATAATGTTTACAATAGTGCGAAAAGTGTATTACAGTATTATTATTATTATTATTATTATTATTATTATTATTAGCTCATCATTTTAATTAATCATTTGTTAAATACCAGTGCATGCATATTATATTATATTATTGATACCTCATTCAATAGATTTATTATTAAAGTAAATTAATTGCAAATTTACTATTAAATACAGAATATTTGTTAAGTTATATAATAATAATTGTTAATAAATCAACTTTATCTCTACTAGTATCAGATTAAATGCAACTAAAAAAATCATATATAAATATAGTTGATTTAAATATTTGTTTTTTAAATACAACAAATACTTATTATTATTATTATTAATTCATTACTAATAATTAAACAATTGCTCAATTAATAAATAATTATTATAATAATTTTTAAAAATAAATAATATATAATAAATGTAGTGATATTTGGTACGTTATGTGACTGATCTAATATATTGATGACAACAATAAGATAGATACTACTAATAATAATAAGTGAAAAAATGGACAAATAGGTGGACACATTACCACCTGTGCCAACCAACCAACTAACCAACCCAGCAATAACCTGCCAAATATATTCCCAATTTTTTTTATTGTATTACATCAACTAAACATTTTGGGCCATTAAAAAAATTAAAATGTCATCTATTGATTATTACAATTATTTGGTGCTACCACAACAATGTAATTTAGGATTTACATTAATATAGCAAAAATTAATTAAGACATCAAATAAATATGTTTATTATAATGTATTGTTAGAAATTAATTGTAATTGAAAGTGTTAATTATATGTGAAAATTGTTAAATTCTATAGTAAATTAATTACTACTAATAATAATAATTTGTGCCAAATATTATTATTTATTGTATTTTATATTTTTATTTTGTAGCCCAATATAAAAGTTTCGTTTTTTTTGTTGGTAATTAATGTTAATTGTTAAATATATATTGATGATTAATGCAATTTGCATTAGATTTTTTTTTAAATATAAAAACCTACAATAAATTCTATAATTGAAACATGGCTCAAATTTTAAAATTGGTTAATAATAATTGTAAATAATATAAATATGTAAATTGTTTCCGATATTATAATTGAATTTTATTATTATACAGTACTTTTTAGTTTAGTATTTAAATTAATATTGATAAATATAGTATATATATCATAGTAAATTTTTAATTATAGTAAATTGTGTATAGTAAATTAATTTGTCACAATTGTATAGAAATTGTGCCAAAAAATATTATTATTATTATTACTAATTTAACTTGAATTTATTTTTTATCGTGATAATGTAATTTATTAATTAATTTCTAAGCTAGACTTTCAAACAAATAAATTCAAAGTGATTTTAAAAATTAATTTATAAATAGTGTCTTTTGAAAATTTTTAGTTTGTATAATTACAATACTATAAATATGTTTATTAATAATAGATTATTAATATATTTGTATAAATTATTATATAAATAAAATAATAATACTTGTATTTAGCAGTTCAACGAAAAAAATGTCAAATAAATTTAACACTAATATATATATTGCTTGTAAATTAATTAAATTTGAATAAATAAAATTTTATTAACAATGTTTTATTCATTAATCAATTTAAAGCTTTAAATTTATAAATATTTTATTTATTGTCTATTTATTTTGAAAATGTCTTTCAATAAATAATTTATTACTATTTTTTATTAGAATTTTTTAAATGTCAAAAAATAAATTTAGTTATATTTTTTTATCTTTTATTTGAAAACACAATAATTTTTGTTTAATTATATTAATGTATCACTAAATTATTTATTATGTTATTTTTTTAGTTAGTTGTTTACTTATTTTAGTTTAAATTATTAAAAAAAAATTAACATAACATTAGAATAAATCAATAGATTTTTTTTACATTAAAATTAATTTTAAATACTATATAGAGAAATTAGTTAATTATTCAAATATATATTGTATTTATTTATTTTTATATTATTTTTTTTACTTTTTTCTAAAGATTTTATATTGTAGTAATAAAATATTTATAGTTAATAGTTGTAAAGATATATATTATATATATAAAGACATTTGGTATTGTAGTTTAAAATAGTTTCAAACTATTTATGTTTTGTTTTCACGCTCTAGATTTGCAATTATTTGTATAAAATTTTATTTAATAGCAAATAAAATTTCCGAAACAATGTTAGAAAAAGTTTACCGGTAATTGTTTTTACTTTTATTATTATAGAAAATTTACAAGAAAGTTTTTTTTTGTTTTTCTATAAATTTGACATTTTGTTTTAGATTTAACTAAAAAATAAAATTTATTATATAATATTGTATAGAAAACTTTCTAAATTTTTTTTGATAACACTAAGGATGTTAAAAATTTATATTACTTTTATTATTATTAAAATATAAAGATTATAATATTATATTTTATTTATTATTTTAAAATAAATTTATCCATTATATTATTGATAATATTTTTTATTTAATAAATTTTATAATTTACATATATTGTGCTAACAATTTTATAAAAGTATGTGCAAAATACCTGAGTTTATATATATTTTACAAATTTTTATTTTATTTATTAAATTTTAAAATCAATTATATAATAAAATATTTAATAAATCAATAATCAAATATTTCATACTAATCAAATGTCTCATAATTCATAATATATATCTATATTTAACATAATATATAATTAATAATTTGCAATTGACTATTAAATACTATTAAAATTATTTATAAACAATAATATAAAATATTAGACAAAAAATATCATACATTTATGTAATAATGTAATGAATTAGCTATAAATAAATATTGCAAACCATTATATTTATAACATTATATATATATATATATATCATAAATGTTATATAAATTTATCTAATAATTAGTAATTATTACTTTGTATTAAATCACAATTTTATACTTTCTATAAATTACTTGTCATTTACTAATAATATCTCCAAACAAACTATTCATCAAATTTAATATATAATTAAATTTCATTTACTTTTTCATTGATCACACATTCATTTAAAGTCAATTAATTCAGTTTCTCAGATATATTCTTATAATGTATATTAAAATTTAACATTTAATTTTCCAATTATTAATCAGAAAAAAATACATAATTAATATCTTAACAAACTTTACATTTTACCGTATATGTACTGTATATTGTAATAAAATACTGTACTAAATATAATAAATTGCAAGTAATTATTAAAATAACATAATTATAATTATTATATAGTTTGGCCAATTAGTTAGATTAATAAATTTTTTTAAATAGTAATTTTTAATTTAATTTGAAAATTTGTTTTGTCTATTTGACTATTTATATATATTTATATTAAATATTTTCAAAACGTGCTTTACGTCAATATTCCTGTACTATTCAATTGAATTACTATAGGCACACACATATATACTATAATTGTACCAACAATTAATTGATTTTAACATTGATTTACTAAATAATAACAATTATTACCAATTGTTATATATATTAGTAAATATTAATTTGATTTATTTTACTATCAGTAATATAAATCATGTAAACCAATGGTGAGAGAGCGAGAAAAAAACACTTTGAATATAATATAATAAATTGATTGATAATATTTTTAATAGAAATCAATGTGCGCTATATCTGTCATCTGTGTATGTATTAAATACAATATATCGGATGTATTCAGCAAATAGTGATATTATATTATATTATATTAATATATATTGATTAATAATTTGTGCTGATGTTTGTGGCAATAATAATAATAATAATAATATTTGTGCAAACGTTTCAATAATCTGTTTGAAAAAAATAGAAATATATAAAGTATTAGTAGAGGATTAGGTATATATGTATTATATTGGAAAGTAATATAAAGAAAACAACTACTACTGTGAGCATCACTGGTCATTGAATGCAGTGAATGTCTATCCGATTCATATTGTCTATGATGTGGTAGTGATGGTGTCGGTTGTATAGCAGCAGCACTTTGATGATGATAGTGATGATGATGTTGTTGTTGTTGTTGAGATGAGCTCTTGTGATGATTACTCACATATTGTACAGAATCGTGCAAAAAGTCGTCCGACTTTGCCCTTTGACCCAATAAACTGGTTGTTGTCCCCCTTTGCGATGGTGAGGCCACCGACGATGAAGTACTAGCATAGGATATGCTCTTCTGATAGCTTAATAATTGACGCTCAAGACTATAGTTTTCGGATGTCAGAGCTGTTATCTCACGTCTATTAACACACATATTAAATACAAACAATTAATATACTGTATATTTCAATTGATAAATGTTTTTTAATAGCTTTGATACAATTATTTTTTTTGATGCATTCAAATTAATAGTAATTTGAATATATCAGAATATTTTGTTATCATAGCTACTAAAATATGTAAAAATGTATGCATCAATATATAAATACTGTATATATTATACATACTGTATTTATTTTGGTATTAATTAAGCAAAATAATTAGTGATCAGCTAATGTATGGTCTGATTTTAGGGGTCTAAACTATTGGGTCACAATGTGTTTAATACAAATTAATATATATATATAATGTTTAATATATAGTATGCTTATGTCATTTATTTCATTATCATCATTACTGACCGCATTTGTTGGCAATGGATACGCGAGAGGTCATCGTATTTATGATAAATGTGGTTAAACAGCATCATTGAGTCACACCATTCAATATGGACAGTCAGCTGGCCTTCCATTTCAAGATATACTTTTGGTGAATCTCTTATCTGTTTTTTTTTAAATATTTTTTGGTTGTAAGATATCATATCATATAATGGTTGTATATTAGAAAAATTTTATTTATTTTTTTAAACTAAACTAAAAGACTTTAAAAAAATATATGTAAAACTTGTGTAAATGTAAAAAACCTGTTGTGATATAATATCTGTTTCCATAATAGTTCCCATATCGATGCCGTCCTGTATATAATAGTTACTGTGCGGCGGATTTGTTACGACAATACTTTCGCGGACACCATTCAATGGATCTCTTGTAACTACATAAGCAATCCATGAGATATATCGCAGATGATTGCGAGGAACTGAATGCAAATCCATGAAAAACAACTTCAGACGCATGTGCTCTCCTTCCATATCAGTCTCTATACACCAACCCTACCAACAAAAAATAACCACACATTATATATATATATACAATAAATATATATATATTATATAATCAATTCATATTACCAGAGAGTATATATCAGAAATAATAAGACTGTTTCAAAATTTTAACAAAATCTTAATACAATGAATAAATACTGCAATTCTATAAAATTACGTAAATTATCTATAATTTTATAGTACTCTATATACTATTATATTGAAAATACAAAACAGAAAATAAAAATAAAACAAATAATAAATACCTCCTAATACTAAATAAATATATAATAAATTTATTACGTAAATATTTTTCAAATTCATTTTGCATAAAATATTTTTACTTTTTTTTTATAAAAAGCACTGTATTATATTAACATTAGCTATTGTGTGTGCGTGTGTTTATGTATGTACAGTACATAATGTTTGTTTATGTGTGTATGAATTAAATGTATATATATATATATATATATATATATATGTGTGTGTGTGTGTGTGTGTTTTTATTTATATATGTACAGTATGTATTAAATAATAAATATATATATATATATTTGTGTGTTTATGTATATATTGTATACCTGTTTGTTGCGGTCATAGCAGTTGATAGTCGGCGAAGGGTTTCTAATGACAGGAACTTTGGCTTCACTGATGGCATTACAACAGAACAGTTCGAGATATATGCGAACAAATCCATGAGGTTTTGATAAGTCTTGAAACGAATGTCCCCTTAATTGAAAGCCACGTATTCTTCCGCCAACGTCTGATATCTGATCCAAAATACCGGAATCTTCTTTGTATTTGCCATCGCCAAGGATGCATCGATACTGTACTCTACAGGGATGCTCAAAGCCAGTCAATCGGCTCAGGTATACAATGGCAATGTATTGTTGTATGTGTTGGTGGTGTTGTTGTTGTTGGTCTAAATCATTGTTGGCACCAGTAGTTGAATATAATTGGTTGATAATAGATATATTCCAATCAAACGATCCAAATGTGAAGTACGGTGTCTCCAGTTTGGCTGCTTTTGTCTGAACGCCGCCTGTTATCTGAATGTCTGTCTCATAGACTGTCATAATGTTGCCTAAAGACAACTCAAGCAAAAACTCTGCGGTTTCGTCACCAAACTTACGGCTAACGATCTCTGATAACAGCATCCATTTGCTTACACCCTATATATATATATATATAGAGAGAGAGAGAGATAGAGTATATATAAAACATTAATATAATTAAATATTATCATATGATAAGAGTGTCATTTAATTTTTATTTTTTAAATATAAAAACTATATTTTAGTGCAAAATACACTATAGTTTACGACTTATCTATAAATTAATATTATTATCAAATTTTATGCTTCATTAATGTATAGGCATTATTGAAAGTAATTACAGTATTTTAATGTTAAAAGTTTCGTTAATTATTGATCCGTTTTATCAGCTAATTAATCATATTTTTTTTAATAATATTAGAATAATTAGTTTAATTTTAAACATATTTACATAATAAAAATAATATAGTTATATAAAATATTTTTTATTATTTTATTTTAATTAATTAATGAGTTTCATATTTACTAAAAACAATTATTTAACTATAAACTGTATATTGTATATAATTCTATACTGTATAAGTGCTAACGATAATACAGTATTATTATTAATTATATTATTCTTATAATATATTCATATTATTATTATTATTAATTATTTACACTATATTATAATAATTTATAAATTATATCAAATTTTGTTCAAATAGATTAAGTTTTATAGTAAATATTTGTTTTTATTAAATAAAATAAAAACATTAAACAAAGTATCGCATTGTTAGTTATCAATCAAATTTATAATAAATGAAATATGATGTGTTAAATAAAATATTTTTGTTTGTTTGTTGTTTAAAAAATTCAAAAATTTTATTTTATCAATATTTTATTTGTTTATTAAAAAAATATATCGGAAATCAATGTAAATGTCATAAATATTATTAATACTACTAATTTTTATATATATATATATTAAATATATAATTTTTTATGGCATTAGAAATATTATTATTGTGTATGCCTTCCGGAAATTTATTAGTTTAATAACAAAAAATGAATGAATGAAATCAACAACTTTTTTTTGGGCAAACATTTGAAGAGATGAAAAATAAACTAAAAAATCAATAATAAAAAAAATATTATGAGATCTTTGTGTATGTAATGCAAAATTCAAGTGAAGTACGTGTCGTACAACATATTGTACACTAAATTCTGTATATTCTGTATATTCTGTATAAATATATTTAATATATGATATAAAAAGATAAACTTATTGTGTACTATATTTTGTGCAAAACTAAACATATTTACTATAATATTTACAACTACAGTATACATATATCATAGAAATATGTGTATGAAATACATACATAGTATTTTATATATAAAGTATATATACTGTATCAAAATACATGATAATCTATATAATAAAAACGTAAAAAGCTATAAATTATAGTTATATATATATATAAATATAACTTTTATTTTACAACAGCAAAACAACATATGACAACTTAATTGTATTGAAATACATATGCATCTAATGGATATGTTATTTACATAAACTTTTAATTTAGAAATAACATTAAATATATACATATAGTGTGTGTGAGTGTGTGTGTATATATATATATGACTAAGTTTTATTAAAAGCATTTTAGCCATTAAATGGCATTTATAATATTACAGTTTATACAATATAACTGTAATTTTATATTTTCTTTCAAAATTACTATTTTATTTTCTGTGACGTACAGTGTGTATCAAATAATTTTTTAAATACAAGTCATTTAGTGAAAAAAAATCATTTAAATTTAATTCAATTGTGAATATAAAGTCTTAAATACCCATTTGTAATGCAAATCAATTCATTTGTGTCTTAAATTCAATTATCTTTGAATATATATACAATACTTTGACTAATGATAAATACAGTTCAGTATATAATAATGTAGCAGTTTTTTTGTAATCATTACAACAAAAAATTAATTCATTAATTTATAATTAAATACAAATTTTATTTCTAACATAATTTTATTTGATCATTTAAATTACTATGAAACATATTATTATTATTATTAAACTCTAATCTAAATAATTAAAATATTTTAATTAAATTTAACCGAAAAAATTAATTATTCAAATTTGAATTAGTATAGAAAAATTTAATTATAATTTCATATATATATATAACACAATGATTCTAATTATACAATATTTTTTTTTAATTTATTTATTTAATGTTATTAGTCTATGATATATATTGTTAATGTTTAGTTGGATAATGATATTTAAAAAATGAGATGAATTATTTTTCGGATCATATAAATAACATTGAAAATGCATTGAAAGCTAGCGTTGATTATCTCTCTCTCTATAAAATGATTGTCACATAGTGTCAAACACATATCAAAATGGGTATTAATATGTTGGGAATGGGATGTAATATGGGATGTCAATAGAAATGGAAATCATCTCTCTATCTTATTTTTGTTGGGTAAATCCCTAAACACATTTGATGTATGCAAAGTGATAGCAGTATGTAGTTATGGCAACAGATTGGATGTGTCGAGGAGTCTCTCAATTTCATCAATGATTGTATGACTGTTTCCAAATGGTTTTCAAAGCAACTCATAGATGCTATTAGAGTTTTCTAAGCCTAGACATCCATTATATTAGTTTTATTCAGTCAATCAATTCAAGCAAAACATATTAAAAAAAACCCTAAACTATTCAATACTATACATAATATTCATATTATTAACAATTTTAATTATTATAAATCTTTTTTTATCATCCAATTTAACGATGCGGTTAACAGTTCTAATGTAGATTTTTATATATATATAAAGTTATATTCAAATATACAATAATACTATAATATATAAACCACAGTATATTTATAATAATAATAATACTATATTACATATACCGTAAATTTATTTAATTCATATTAGATTCATAATATGTAGTGTTTATTTATACTCAATAATAATAATAAAAATAATACTATACTATGTATAATGTATTTTATTGCAATCAAATCTACAAATCTATAAATTTATAGAATTATTTTAATATTCATTATATATATATATATATATATATATATATTACTTAGAAATATATATAATTAAAAATAACTATAACTATACAATATTAGATTATATTATTATATGAATTTCAATACTCGATTTTATTATAAATAATATATTTTTATGATAGTGTATATAATAAGATATGATATTTAATTATTCAAATAAAAATAATATTAGTCATACTTGAATTATGTTTAATAAAATTATAATATAAAGTATACCCAATATATATATATATATAAAGCGCAATATATATTGTTGTATACTATAGATAAAATATATCATTAAAAAAATATAAAGTATATGTTAACTAAAATAGATCGATAATAATGAATAAAAAGCAAATCTTTCTGATATTATTATCAGTAAAATCTATGGAAATACATGTTAAGGTGTTATAGTCCTGTTGTTATACAATTAGTTGTGTGATAAATAACATACAATTTATTTTTTTTATTTTGTTGTTGAAAACTACGTTATTTTAAGCTTAATGTCCACATAATATTTTTTGGGAGTTCAATATTATGTGTGTTTAATTATTTAAATCATCATTATATATAAAAATAGGCGTCTATTCAAATAAGCAAATATTTATAACATTTAACACAACTAAAATATCATTAAAGTACATCAAATGTGCCGCTATATAGATATATAGATATATATATTAAACTATAATGATTAGCAATAAATCATAATTGCCTATTACTTAAACATTAAATAAATAGTATATTTATTATATATATATATATATATATTACAGCATAAGTATACATTAATACATTTCTTCAAGATTACAAACATTAATAGTAACTAATATCGTTTTATTTTTATTTTTTAAATAAAACTATGTATCGAAATTCATATTATACAAAAAACAATTTCAATAAACTTAATGATAATAATGCACAAAAAATATCTATATTCAATATATACTGTATATATATATATATATATATATAAATTCTATATTATATAAATATCTGTCAAAATGATATAAAATAAAGTGCTATAACATTAAAACTATATGTTTGCTTGACTTATTCAATATTTATAGAGAGTATATACACAGTGTATAAGCAATAATTTAGTGAATTAGACTATTATTATTATTATTATTATTATTTGATTCATTAAACAAAAAACATTAGTTGATTCAATAAAACACACACAACTAACTACTAATATTGACAACATTGTTAATGCAAATGTCATTTATTAAATCAAATGTTATTTTAAATTTGATAACAAAATACTGATATATAAATTATATATATATACACACATAGTACAAGTGTACCATAAATTTTATAATTGACACCAAAAATAAAACTCAATTATATATAACATGAAAATTACATGTAAAACATCATACCGTATGGCTTTAAATATGAACCAAAAAAAATTAATTAATTAACATTAATAATAGTATATAAGGATATATAAAAAGTTAATTTATTACAAATTAATTAGATTAGCAAATTGGTTAACATGTGTTAAATTAATTAATAATAATTATGTGTGTGTGTGTGTATGTATGTATGTATGTGTGCATACCTGTGCTGGCTGTTCAACAGTAAAGAGGGCCTGTTTTTGGGCAAACGACTCGTTTTTGCTGAAATGTTCTCTATTTAGTAGAGTTAGCGTATAATCGGCCAAACATTTGGTATTTGGTGACGGATTTCTTAATATAAGATAAACGCCGAGCACTTTATCATTGCTTCGGGTGAAGGACAGCGCCCATCGGTGATAGCCGTAAGCGAAGTCTTTGGTGGTGGCGTCTCGGTGGACATCTCTGGTCACAGTACGGGTCACTATGAATGTAAAGACTCCGGTATTACTCCTATCATTCAGTTTCGTAAATCTATATAATAATGCCATTTAAAAGCACTTCATCTCTTCAATACACACATATATATACTGTTATATGTGGACTACAATTGCTTTTGCAAGCAATTTGCACCAAAATTGTTGACTTAAGTCATCGAAAAGCAACTTTTATATACATTTTAATTGTCATTAAATAGTTACAAAACTATAACCATATGACAAATATCATTAAAACTCTCTGATATACTCAACTATACTACTATACCATTGCATAATCAACGTGTTGTTGTTGTGTTGTCTATAACTTATTGCAATCTCATTGTATGTGTGTTAGTGTGTGTGTGTGTGTGTGTGTGCTCTTCATTGAGATGTTCACATCACTGGCAAGTTGTGTATATATGTGCTCTACATCTAAGTGCAAGTCAGTCGATATTATCGATTCAGGTAAGTGTCCACAACTGTTGCGAATCCGTAGTGTGTGTGTGTGTGTATAGTGTGTGTGTGTGTATAGTGAGTGTATGTGTGTGTGTGTATGAGTGTGTATGTGTGTGTGAGTGTATGTGTGTGTGAGTGTATGTGTGTGTGAGTGTATGTGTGTATATGTGTTCACACAAATGCCAATTATATAGATATATACGCGCATCGATTGTTTGCCTCAAACTAACTAATCGCAGCTATAGTTTGCCTCGAAATGTGTTGCAATATAAATCTTCATTTATTTATAATAACAATAATAATAATAATAATAATACATTATATTTAGAGTTTTACTCTATCATTGAATCCAATTTTCAAATGATTTTAATGCACACAAAAATATCATCAATAAAATACAGCTCATCCAGTGCTGACCACTGGTATGACACATATAACCCATACATTTATATTATAGTATCAACAGATCATACAAGTGTTTAGCTTAACAGTGATACTAACATTTACCTAATAGTTAGGTCAACCAAAAGATTAACTACTATTTAATAAATAAAAGTCATATAATAAGAGATTACAAATATTTTTTTTTAATTAAAAAATTATTAAATAAAAAAATATTATTAATAGAAAGTCTATATTTTAAATAATAGCCTTTAAGTAATATAACAAATATTTAATTTTTACAATCAATGTATACAAATTGGAAAAAATTGTGTTAAATTAAATTTATTCAACAACAACAAAATTAGACATAAAATTAGTTATTGTATGTAATAAAATAAAATGTATTAAAAAACAGATTTCAAGTGTCAAATAAAAATATACTGAAAACTACATATAAAACTATAAGTGGCATCTGTTGTGACACATTTGTGGCAAATAATTGGCCAAAAAAAAAATCTTAAGACAACAAATCAATAATTTAGTTAAAATTATTAACTCAAGAGCACTGGTATGTAATAATAGAAAAGCATTATATTATTTGTTTTAATCAATTAGTAGACAATCATTAAGCCCTTAAGGAGTTTAAAGTTTAAACATTTAAAATAATTAAAATTAATAATAATAATGAAAAAAAACCTGTATATTAATTACCGTAAGTATACTTAAAAAATTAAAATAATAATAATAATAATTAAGTACAAAATTGCAACTAATTAATTAGTAACTAATATAACAGAAATATATTAATTTTTTTAGTCGCACACAAAAAAAATTGAAATAAATTATAAATATTATTTTTTTAGTTATTTAAAAAAAAGATAAATAATGAAAACTAAATACAAACTAATACAAAAAAATATGTAATTATGAAATAAAAAATAATAATGAAATGAAATGCACACAAAAAAAACATTTACCGGTAAATATGTAATGAAATATAAACTTTTTATATATCAATATATATATATATATATTGTATAAATCAAAAACATATAAAACAAACCGTATGTTTTTTATTTTGTTTTCTTTAAAAAGTGATGATCACTGATGAGGAATGAAATTATTAGTTAGTTTTCTTTTGTGAGGGATTTTGTTGTTGTAGTTGTTGTCGACAATTAGTGGAGTGTTTAATCAATGTCTTTGCGTACTTCTGTTCTTTACCGCAGTTGAAACACTTGAATCGGCCGTTGGTCTTGTGTTCGGCATTCAAGTGACTAATCAACTCTTTTGAATCGGTTAACTGTATTAAACAAACGGGACAACTATTGTTGTTACCGACGACTGCAACTGCAAGTCCGCAACCAATCGGCGAACATTCAATTGTATTATCGTTTATCGCTTTTGATGGCAACTGAGTAGTAGTGGATATTATATTTTCCTTTGAGATTTGATTGTCCACCACTTCTTTGTCCATATTTTGTGAATTGTTGTTATCGTTCACTGAATCCATGTTTACATCGAATACAATTGGTTCCATCGATGGCTGTATCTGTGGTGACAAATAAGTACCAAATGACATACTGGCAACTTCTTTGAGAACATTTAATGATTGATTATGTGTTGGAGTGATAATTGCATTATTTGTGGTCAATAATTCAACAGAGTCTTCGGGCTGTTTTGTAGTATTGGATGCGTTTGAGGAGACATTCAAATGCTTACTCGCGACCATAGATTTTTCTTTGTTTTTGTTAACAACTGTTTTCGGATAGGATTGCTTTCGGCGTCTTTTGCGTCCAATAGGCTGACTGATGGCCGCAATTGACGGACCATTGGCCACAATCGACTCAATTGTCTTCATTATGTTGTCCTCGTTATTAGTTTTATCGTTTGTTGAACTTAATGACAAATTGATGGGTAGTTCTTGTAGTTGATCTAAACAATCGAAATAAATGAATGAATGGTTTGTTTGTTTGATTATAAGATTCAACAATAAGTTTTAGAAATACAGTAATCACCTATTGATAGATCCATTGGTTCAATTGGTTTGTCTTTCAAACGACGCTTTCTATCACTCGCTATGAGACTGTTGTTGTTGTTGTTGTTAACAGAATGATAACGCATGAGACCATTGATGTCGTATTGAATCAATTGACGAGAAAAATTGAGCGATTCTTCAGCGACTTCTTCTGTCTTCAATTGTAGACCAAATGTATTAGCAATTTGTTGTAATTGATTGACACGTTTAATATCAACCAATTGGTGGCCAAAGTAAACACAATCGACAATGGATTTCATGTCATCGACTTTGGTATCCATTAGTATAATGACAATCAACTGACTGGTCGACCACTTTGACAACAATTGATACAATCGTTGCGATAGTGAAGACAATACCAGTTTGTGTGCCATCACTGAGCCATCGATGCATTCAATGATAACATCTGTCATCAGTTGCGATAAATACATCTCTCGTAGTTCACGACTCTGTCCGTCCATACGTTGGCCGGAGATATACACAAAACAAGTCATCGTTTTTGTTGTTGTTATTTGGATCAGATTATCGCCGATTGGATCAAACAAATTGATTACTCAATCAATCACTCAATGCTTTTAATCGAATGTCAATCAAAAACAATAAATCAATGTTTGTATGACTCAAGTGTTGGTTTTACTGCTAAACACTTGATTTGATTTTTTTAGTGTTCGAACAAAAAAAACAAAATCTAAATATAATATTTGGTTTACAATAGGGTTGACAGAGACTAATACAATGTATAATACAATGTATAATACATTTTTTAAAAATTACTGTTATTTAGTATTTTTAAAAAATAATAATTAAAACACAAAAAATACTTGTTGTATAATAAATATAGATTTAATACAATTTTTTTTAATTTCGATTTTTTTAATACTCTTAATTTATTTTACTTTTCATTTGTATTATATATTTAAAAAATAAATTAATAAAATATAAATCGTTTAACTTATAAATATTATTCAATTAATAGTTATTAAAGTGTTGGGAAAATAATTATTAAAGCTATATTTATTATACAAAAAGGTATTATTTTTTGCTTATATAAAATCAATGTTTTTTTTAATACTAAATAAAGCTAACTTTAAAAAAAATTGTATTATACATTGTATTATACATTGTATTATACGAATAAAATTCAAATTACAAAAACCCTGTATTTTTCACAACCCTCGTTCATATAGACATAATATGTTAACAAAATTAGCAAAAATACTTAATGAAACTTATTTTAAATAATTATAATAATATTTAATAATAAATACTAAACAAACAAACAAAAAATATATGAATATAATTAACAAAAATTTTATTTAAAGTTTTAAATGTTTGCATAATTATTAATATTTAAAATAGCGATCAATTCATTTTAAAAAAATATATAAATGAATTGTTTTTAATCAATCATTCAAAATACACTAAACAGTCGATCATATCTATAAAAGTTATAATTTTTTTTATATATATTTTTAAATACTAAATAACTGAAAATATATTGACAATAAATTAAATATTAAATATAAATATAAATATATTTATATATATAATTAAATATTTTTTTTGTATTTAAATGATTTGCTGTTTTATCGATGACTTTATTTATAGGATCGCTTTCGGCGTCTTTTGGGTCCAATAAGCTGACTGATGGTCACAATTGGCCGATCGTTGGCCACAATCGACTCAATTGTCTTCATTGAGTTGTTTTTGTTATCAATTTTATTGGTCGACTGACAACTTAATGACAAATCGATGGCTACTTCTTTTAGTTGATCTAAACAATTGGAAACGAATGGTTATATTCAATATTCAATTAGTCTTAAAAAATAGTCTTAAACACCTATTTGCTGATCCATTGGTTCAATTAGTTTGTCTTTCAAACGACTCTTATTATTATCACTTTCTATTAGATTAAAATCAAGTGACTCTTCAGCGATCATTTCTGTCTTCAATTGTAGACCAAATGTATTAGCAATTTGTTGTAATTGATTGACACGTTTAATATCAACCAATTGGTGGCCAAAGTAAACACAATCGACAATGGATTTCATGTCATCGACTTTGGTATCCATTAGTATAATGACAATCAACTGACTGGTCGACCACTTTGACAACAATTGATACAATCGTTGCGATAGTGAAGACAATACCAGTTTGTGTGCCATCACTGAGCCATCGATGCATTCAATGATAACATCTGTCATCAGTTGCGATAAATACATCTCTCGTAGTTCACGACTCTGTCCGTCCATACGTTGGCCGGAGATATACACAAAACAAGTCATCGTTTTGTTGTTATTTGGATCAGATTATCGCCGATTGGATCAAACAAATTGATTACTAAATCAATCAATGCTTTTACTCTAATATCAATCAAAAACAATAAATCAATGTTTGTATGACTCAAGTGTTTGTTTCACTGTTAAACACATTTCTATTTTATTGTCTCAACAAAAAAACAAATTATTTTTTATATTTATTTTTTAAATAATTTATTCATTGAAAAAATTATTTAAAAATTTTATTATATAGTTTTAAAAATTATATATATATTTACATTTTAAATGATTTTCTGTTTTATCGGTCACTACTATACTAGACTATGTTTTTTAGGATTTAATAAAATTATACTAAATATAAAAAAGTTTTAAATTAATAAAAAAAAGTAATTCAAACAATTATTATTATTATTATTATTTATAAAGTATGCTTATTGAAATTTATAAAATGTAAGTTACATTATATTAGCTTAAATGATAAATAAATGTGATTTTAAAATTGAATTTAAATTTTTTTATTGCTAACAAAATACTGTTTAATATTACAGATTGTTATACATGTAGAAAATATTTAATTTTTTTAAGTAATAGACAATTTTTTTTTTTAAATTTATACATTATTTATACAATACATAATACAAGCTATAAATATAGTACAAAAATTTTTTTTAACAATTTATTATAATGTATTCAAATGAAAAAAAATTTAATTAAATTTAGTGAAGTGATTTTTTATTTTATTAAAAAATAAAAATTAATCTTATTTTTATTATTCAGTACTATGTAAATGTGTAAATAATCAATATTAAGTTTTAAAAAAGTAAAGATAATAAAATTTTAAAAATATAAAATTAATAATTAGATAGATTTAAATTAAATATATAAATTTTATTTTACTTAAATTGAACAAGTTGTAATAACTTAAAATTAAAAGGTTTTTTTAATATAATATTTTATTTTTGAAGTAAATTTATAACTAAATTTAGAAATATAACATAACATGAATACTGAAACTTTTATTTTATGAATATTGCTTATAATATGACAATTACATTACAGTGTCTTAATTAAAGGGTCACAAAATCAATATATACTGTATGCCTATACAGTAGTTTGAATTAGATATAAAAACATTGAGATAATAAATATTAAAGAATATTCTGTAAAAATAACATAGAATTTTTGTTTAAAAATTTTTAGCCAATTTTTGTTTCTAAAAATCAATTGTAAACAAATGTATTTAATAATAATTAAATTTAGAAATGTTGTAATTATGTATATATATTATATATTTTTTAAATAAGTTATAACATTTATCTTTTTATTAAAATATAAAAAACAATTTATTTTATATTTATATTAATATAATATTAAATATAAAAAAATTAGTAATAAGTATTTTTAGGAATATAAAATTTACTTTAATGTTTAAGAAACATAATAAACAATTTTATTAATTATGTACACTTAATTTAAGTAATTTATGATTATTTTTAATAATTTCTAACAATAACATACAATCAATTAAAAATTATACAAAACTTTTAATATAAAAAATTATAGTTAAAATGCTTACTATATATAAATTAATAAAATATTTTTACATTGTAATATTTAAAAATAATTTTGTTATTAAACATTTCAAATAATTATATCAATATATTTTTATTAACAAATTTCTATAAAAATAAATTAAATTGATTATACAATTTATTTATACACGCAATTATTAATAAATACATCAAATGTTAACTATATTAATAACTAAATACAAAATATAATAATTATTATGAGAATTTTCTCTATTAAAAAAAACCTTTTAAATAGTAATTATCATTTAATATGAAAATTTCATAAATTAGTTTATATATATATTTATTAATAACATTCATTTAATTTTAAAAAATTGTTTATCTAATTAATAATAATAATAATAATAATAATAATAATAATAATAATGGTTTATATAAATAATTTAATTATTATGATAGATAATAATTTTTAATAGCTAATAGTGATGATGTTATTTATTATTATTATTATTAGTTGAATTTTGACACAATTATTAGGCAAAATTATTTTTGTTGACCCGAAAGCTGGTACCGTGTGTCAGATCAAAGTTATAGGAGGGCTGTTGTGTTTTGACCCGACCTAACATTTTCTTGAATGCCTGCTTGAAGTTTTCGTTACATAAGGCATACAAAAATGGATTCAAAAAACTATTTACATAACCTATTTAGATTTGATTTGAGAAAAAAAACAAAAAATTATATTATATTAGTTAAATATTTATAAATAAATAAATCATGAATATAAAGTAAACTAACATTTATATTTTTTTTTGAAAAAGCAAAATAAATAGTAATGCATTATTAGATAAATAAAAATAATAATATTAATAATGCTATTTTCAAAATACTATTCAATATATATATATATATATATATATATATATTATAATATTATTTTTATCTCGTATTATGAAATAAATTAACATTTGATGCAAAAATGTCACATTAGATTTGCAACTAAAATATTATTTTTTTATTCAACAAAATTCTTATTTTTTGGGAAATTACTTCTCATTAAAATATTTTTAAAAATTTTGGTTATGAATTATGAGATCTATATATATATAGAAAATATTTATATAAATATCGTTTATTATTTCTGATATAATTGATTTATTGGCGAAAAATTAAAGTTTACGAGTTATTAGATTAGATATTATAGCTTAAATATGCAATCAATATTTTATTTTATTTTTTTTTATAAAATCAAATTTATAGTCAAGCAAAGGCTCATTAACTTTTATATAAATTTTTGCTATTTAAATATTATTGTAAACATCATTACGATGTGTTATTTATTATATATATACCGTATATATATATAAAATTCAAAATACCATGTCATGGTTTCATATGAAAAATCATTAATATTATTAATGTGTGTGAAAAATAAAAGTAAAAAACTAAATATTTTCTAATTTGATATATAAACACATAAACACATAATCGCATCAATTTATTTTATTTAACTTTTTTTCATAAAACAATAAGATTTTTTGTTTTCTTTGTTGTAAAGAATTATTGATTTTTTGGGTTATTGAGAGTAAAATTGTTAAATAACTCAACAAATATACGGTATATGTATATAAATAAATGCTTTGAAGGCATGTCAAGCACTGGGGAAAGGCATTATTATAACAATAGGCTTTCATAAACTATCGGAGTTATATAATATACTAAATAATACTATCCATACTTATGATAGCATTTGGTTGCCAACAACACAATGCATTCACACCATTATATTCTCACACTATTCTCTCTCTCTCTCTCTCTCTCTCTCTCTCTCTAAACATGTAATTCATTGACGCTTATAATGGTTTCATAACTTTAAAAAAAATCTCTCGAAAAACTCATAACTCATCAAAAAAATAATGCTTTTATGCGACATATAAGCAAACGGCGTAAAAATATTTTATAGTCTTTTTTACATATATTTTGCACTTTACTACTACTACTACTACTACTAATAATAATAATAATAATAATAATAATAATAATTGCATTATATATATATATATTGATTGATAAATCTGAGTGCATTACTGTTGTTTAAAAAAAATAATAGTGTATAGAGTGTATAGATAAGACTAGCAATAATGATGGCACATACCTAACCAAATGGCCACCTGATGTACAGTAGATGATACACAATCGGGACAGTGAGCTGTAACAATGAATGTAATGATGTATGGCATCCAACATAGTATAAATGCGCCCAAAATGACCCCCAATTGTCGGGCAGCCTTCTTCTCCTGACGCAAACGTGAGGACTCTTCACGGCGTAAAGCATTCATGTGATGAGTGGCGGCTACGGCTGCAGCCGCTGTTGACTGACACTCGATGCACAACTCGTTGGCCGGAAGTGCTATCGACGGACGAGACACCAGACGACTATCAAGTCTTGAGATTTCTAAACTATTATTAGTATTATTTGATGTATTGATTTTCAACGACGACTTGTTTGATGTGGTTTTTCTTAAACAACTATTGCTTTTACTACTAATATTCAATTCATCCATTTCTTGTTGATTATCATCTTCACTGCCATTATTGACATTTTTTCTTTTAGTTAATTTTGTTGTATTGGATTTACACTTAGTTTTGTGTTTATTTTTACTACTAATTTGTTGTTGCGATTTATAACCGGATAGTGTAGTAGTAGTAGTAGTGATCAAGGAATCTGATTTCGTATCGATTGATGTTTTAATTGTCGATAAAGTGTTTAATAATTTTTGGTCATTTGGTTGTTTGTTATCCAAATGAGTGGTATTAACAATATTGACAACTGATCCGCCATTAATATACTCGACCTCCACTTTGACGCCTTTATAGTCTTCGAGTGCCGTTAGCGAAGACTTTTCTGGTTTAACACTCATTAGTGTCAACTGTTGATAGTGTTGTTTAGCTGACGACAACAAGAAGCTATCATCGACAGAGTAGGTCGGCTTATCACTGATAACAGCAGCAGCACTGGTAGTTGTATTAGTAGTCAACGACTGTAATTTGTTTTGACACTTAATCTCATCACTACTATCTCTACTATTTGGTCTATCGATTGATGGCCTATCAGTTTGCGAACATTTTTCACTATCCACTACTAACGGATCACTTGTATTGTTAATATTATTATTATTATTATTATTATTATTATTACAATTCATTTTGATGATCTGTTTGGCTGTTGTTGTTGTTGCTGGAAATGATGAACAGGAGGAACAACCCTTAGTTTTTGTTGTTGTCTTATAATTATTTCGTTGGAAAAGTTTACGCTGTTTTCTCAACGATGATCGGCTCAAAGTAGTCGAGTGGTCGGCACACGAAACACTCAGACTCCGGCCGATGTCTATCTTTCCTCGGCGTTTGATTTCGCAGAATATCTTATAGTAGATGACAACCATTAGTATCATTGGTATGAAAAAGTTGACGGCCGAAGTGGTCAGTTTGAATAGTATTGAATCGCTGAACTCGGTTTCGCAAACATTATCCGGGTGTTTGCGGACACCGTTAGAGTATACTAAGTGCCAGCCTATCCAAACATACAGACAAACAAACAAACAAACAATAGTATCAGTCATACATATATCATCAAACAAATTGATTTTTTTAAAAAGATAAAATCAATATAATATTGTATATAAAAAAATGATATACCAATGATAGGTATGACCCATAAGATAGATATTAGCCAAACAATGCCAATCATACCCAGGGCTCGCTTTTTGGTTCGTTTACATAGATATTTGAGCGGCGATCGTATAGACCAATAACGATCCAAACTTAATATCAATAAATTAAATATCGATGCCGTACTGGCCGTATAATCTATAACTAGCCATAGCTGGCAAACCACTAGACCCAGTGTCCAGTCACCCAATAGTACATACACTGAACTAATAGGCATTACTATTAAGCCAACTGTTAAATCAGCGATCGCCAGACTCATGATAAACATATTGCTTACCTATTAAAAGTGAAAATATTTTTATTTTTTAAAAAATAATATCATTTTTGATAATTAATTTAATATTTATAATCTAAACTAATATTTATAATATAATCTAATATTAATTATTTTTTTAAATAATTTGTTTACTATATGAATAAATTATTTTTTGTTTGTTTGTTTGTTTTTTTAATTAACAATTTAATACTTAAAGTAATATAATTTTAGTCTAAAAATGATAATTATAAAAGTATATAAAAAACATTATTTTTCTTATATTCTATATGTTAATGAAATTTTGTTGTTTTTTATGTTGTTGTTGTTGTTGTTGTTAATTTATATTGTCTTAATTTAACATTAGTTAGTCCATTAGTGTCTAAATATAAATATTGCTAAATGTAAATGTCTGGTATAATTTAGACAATAATAGTGTAACTAAATATAATGCTAATAAATTTTAGATAAACATGGTTAATTTTATTTTTAATTACAAATAAATAACAAATAAAAAAAACAGTAGTATCTTAATGAACAAAAATAGTCTTCAATAATAATATTATAATACAATATCTCTGTCAAAAAAAAAAGTTTTCCTATTTCTATTACTATTAAATTTCAATTAATTGTTTAGATATTTGCTATATTATTATTATTATAATAATAATTTACTAATATTATATATGTAATATTATACAGTATAATAATATCAGCAAATGATACATTATGTCATTATACATGTACTATATGTTACTATAAATATTATTATTAGTACTATTATGGAAAATATCGTATCAATAAAATGTTTGTGTAATATAATGATAGAATATATATATATATACCGTATATGTAATACTAGTATTTATATAAATGACTTTCATTATGAGATTTACAACAACAATAGTAGTACTACTTTAATATATAATATATTATAATAAATCAAATTAATCTTATGATAAAGTAATATACACTGACTATATATATATATATACCGGTGCTGCTTATGTAGTATTAACGAAATAAAATATATATATATAAGTATCAAAATAGATATTATATAATATAAACAGTTTATTATATTAGTGACAGCATTTATCTCTCTCTCTCTCTCTCTCTCTCTCTCTCTCTCTCTCTCTCTAATTATATAATCCATTACATTTTAATTTAAAAGTCGACATTAATTATAGAGTATCTTAATGTAAAGTACTTTACATTATTTATGTTGAAAATTAATCAATAAATTATAACATTTTTAGCATTCAAATACAATAATTTTCATTAAAACAAAACATTATTAAACAAACAAAATATTATAAAATTGTAAACTTTTATAATGTCAAACATTAAATTTATGTTTTAGATTAATTTTTTAAAAAAAAATTTATTTTATTGAAGTAATTTATTAGATTTTTTTTCTTGTAAAATAAAACCCATAAAATAACTTTACTTAGTTGGCAATAATATAGTTCAATAAATAAAAGTCTAATAAATTGAATCAAAATTTTTATTTTATGATAGATGTAAATAAAATTTTCACTATATTTTTCGTTTTGTTTTTTTTCTTTCTATATTTTATGTTATATATAAAGATTTATGTTAATATATATATAAATGATGTTATATGTCAGGGAGAAAATATATATATATATATATATATACTGTATATGAATTTGTTAAAAATTAAGTAAAATTTAGTATTTTAAAAAAATAACTTTAAAAAAATAAATAGATAATAAATTCAATAGAAAATTTGTGTGTTTGATTAACAAATATTATTAACAATTTATTGTTGTTAATAAACTAAAGTATATTATAACTATAGTTATTGTTAGATTGTGTGTTGATTTTTATATATTCAATCAAATGGATGTCTACTCTAGCGTTAAGTCATATATTATTATTACTATTATTATACTGTATATACCGATATATATATATAAATTTTTTTTCACTATCTATAACTTTTAGTCAAACAATTTATTTATAAATAATGTGTTTTATTTAGCGCAAACAATACTAATATTTGAAAATTGTTTTGGGGAAACAAAATGTTTGTTTGTTTTTTTTCAAAAGTATTAATAATGTATGTAAATATTAATAATAAGATATCTTAAATTATGACAAAAAAAATTTTAAAGATAACCAATCGTTTATTGAAGATATCGATATATTTCTAATAAATTGTTTAACTGTATTAAACTAAAAATATTTAATATAATTAAATAATTATATTAAAATTTATGGTATATTTAATTAATATTATTTTAGAAATGCTCTTATATTAAAAAAAATGTTAACAAAATTAATTGTTAATATAATTAAATTATAATTAATTTAATGTTTATAAGCTGTAGTGCAAAATATTATTATCTACACCAACGCTATTATACACTATTATAATGTAGTTGATTAAAAAAAATCAATTTAATATTTAACGCCTAATTAATTTTACAGTAATTCAACTAAAATGTTACTTAATTTAGAAATAGTTTTTTTTAAAAATAAATAAAGTTTTTTTAGGTTATTTTAAATAAATAAGCAAAAAAATCATTTACAAACAATAAAATATTTTTTTTAAAAAAAAGTCAATAAATAATGTCTAAAATAACTGTATTATAAATTTGCGCGCAAATAATATATACGATAAAAACGACAAAAAGTTTTGCAATAATTAGTATAAAGTTTTATATTAAATACAATGATTTTTTATATCATATATTATTTAACGTAATGTATGGTATAATATCATATATGTATATAAATATATTATGAAAGCAATCGTATAATAAATTGTATTAATTTTTTTGTTTGTTTGTTTGTAAATGATTTTATGCTTATATTTTTATTAGTATCTAATTTTAGTATTGTGTTTGAATTAATCAACAAAAAAATTGTACTAGATGAAAGTGGGGGGGGGGGTGGTATGCGCCTAGGATTAAACTATACTAGGTAATTGATGTGTTGTATAATAATTGAATTAACATTTGGTGGAGGGGTGGGGTGGGGTTATTAGCCCAATATATGTGACACCTATAGATGACTATAGTTTTATTGGCTAACTATTCAATCATTTCAATGGGTAAGTGTTTACAATAAAATTTAAAAAAAATTTATTTATATTATAGTATTAAATAATATTTATTTTTAAAAAAATAATTTTTTAACTTATTATTATAAATGTGTAATATTTATAAATATTTATAATTTTATTTTACTTTTAAACTATATGATTATGATATCAGCCACATTAGTTAGGATTTTAAAAATATATATTAATGTAATTTATTTATAAAAAAATAACCTTGATAAAAATTATGTTATCTAATTGTTATATATGTAATTTGTGTCTATTTAAAAATGTTTTTTTTGAAAACAATAATTATACATGTAAATTAATATTAGTTTGAATTTTATACCGGTATCTACAATATACATGTATATATCAATATTGATTAAATGTTTATATAATTTAAAATTTATTTAAAAAAAACAATAAATTTTTATTAAACAATAAATAATTTATTTTAAGCTATCATACTATCATATAAAATAGTATTAAATTGCATGACAATTTTATATGTTATATATAAAAATAATAATTATGAAATTGATATTTATCTCTAATGTTTTTTCTTTTCTTTAACACTACTTTTTGTTGTTGTTGCTTATATTTGGCCCACAAAAAAAACTTTTAATGTTATTATTATAAATAAATTCAATGAATATTAATAATATAATATATGATACAGTAATATGGATTCCATAGAGCAATATCTAGAAATAATTTGCTCAATAATAATGATTGATTGCCCATAAAAATCTGTCTCAATATAGTCACAATTGATATCATAATTTATTATACTTTAAGGCTATATATATATATAGACTTTTAGATTTACATTATTAAAATAACATTATTTTTAATATCATTTTATTCAATAATTTGATTTGACATATAAACTCGTATATTGAATATATATATATATATATTATTGACCAAACATCGATTTGTAGTTAATTTTATTTTATTTTTTATAGTAATCGATATTTACTTATTAGTTATATTTATTTAACTGCTTTATCTAAATAACTATATATATATTTGATTATAATAATTACGTAAATATTTTGTTAGTAATTACTTAAAATTAGAAAAATAAGTTTATTTAATTATAATAAGTTATAAATAACAATATAAATATAATTTGTTTTTTGTTGTTGAATAAATTGATAAATATGATAAATTAATTTTTTTAGTCATCAGTGTATTTTACAAATAATATTTTCAATAATAAGTAAAATTTTAATGAGATTTATAATTATTAAACAATAACAATGGGGATTAAATTATCAGTTTAAATGATAAATGTATTAGAAATCTAATTTACAGTATGTATCAATATAAAATTGTTTGAAATATTTTATTTTATCAATTTTAATCATATATTTGATTTTTATTATAGATTTATCGCAAAAATTATTGATAAAATTTAAGTTTTAAAGTATAATAAGGATTCTTAGAAAAAAACTTATTTTTATTTAAAAAAAATGATTTTTATTTAAAAAAAATGATTTTTATTTATTGGATAAAAAATTCACAATTTATCTATCGGTCAAAGCATTTCTAATTTTTTTTTGTTATTTATTAATACATAATTTTTAAAAAAAATAAATAACAACAGTATATATATAAAATAAAAATTAAAGTTTTAATATGTATTGTTTAAATCATTGCTAATACTGTAAAACTTTTGATATACTTTAGTTATAATAATAATAATAATACTAAACATTTTTCTAGTCTTTTATTTTTACAGTATAAGCCATAAGTAACACATCATTAAGCTCTTCAACTTAAACCAATGATAAGATACAGTATATACTGTATATATAGACTACTATCCATTGTTTAACGATGCAGTCAAACATAAATTAATTTTTGTTTCATTTGCTCATTTCGTTTATGCCGTACATCCCTTTCCCTTATATATATCATATTAAGGTACGGTATATAAAAGTAAATAACTACTTTCTAAATCAATATTTATATTTTTTTTTAAAAAACGTATAAATATTAATTAATTTTTATAATAAATATTTTTTTGAATATTACTTGAATTACAAATTTGTTTTACATTACTGTACATTTTATTTTTTATTATGAAAAGTTGAAATGTTAAAAAAATGTTAAAATTACTTTTAAAAATCAAATACTTGACTACTATTATAAACATAAAACATATATATATACAGTATATATGTGCTCACGTATTGAAAATTAAATTATTAATATAAGTGAATCTAATAAAATAAAAAACTAACCTTTTTTATTGCCTAATAAAAATTATTACACTTTTATGTTCACTTAAACAAAAAAAAATTCTGTACTTTTGATCTCATTTTTCTTTAAATATTAGTTTTAATCAAAATATTTTTATTATATTTCTAAGCAATCATTTACAGACATATACTGTATATATATATAATATTACTCTAATATTACTCATATATATATATAGTATCTACATATAAATTTTATGTCAATGTAATAATATTGTCTTTTTTATTACATATATATATATATTCTAGAAATTTTTTAAAAAAAGTTATAATATAATTTGTCGTTATATATAGCATTTACCTTGGTATTCATATTTTTATTGGATTTTATGCATTATAAAATTATATTTGTGTTAAATAAAATTTTTATATAATCTAATTGCTATTTTTTATTGGTGCATTATTTAAATTAGTTTAAATATATTTTTTAATCTAAAAAGCAAAATTTATTAATTATTTATTAAATTATTTATTTATTGTTTTTTTATAAAATGAAAAATGTTTTCATCATTATATTTAGTGTCCAAGTCATATAAATATTTTTATCATAATTTTTGATCATTCAATTATTATTATCATTTTATAGAAAATTAAACTATTTAATATTTTTCAAAAGTTAAACAAAATAATTAAAATAATTTCATATTAAATTAATAGATATATATAGAGAGAGAGAGAGAGAGAGAGAGAGAGAGAGAGAGAGAGAGAGATCAAACAATATGTTACTTTAGATTATATATTAAATTATTCAAAAACACATAGCATATAAATATATAAAAAATAGTTTTTAATTATATATTCAATTTATTATGCTAATTATATATATATATATGCATTATATGTTAAAATTGTTTTAATTAAATCTAGAATCTAATGTATAATATTAATATATTATTAAATACTGTATATATGTGTGTATTTCTATATATATATATATATTTAGTTTAATAGTATAATTTAATAACTGGTATATCACATATATATAACTTATAAACCGCATTAAGTAATTCATTGATATTGATGTTGTTATCATATTATATATATATATATATATAATACAAGTAAGTTATGCTTTTAAACATAAAAATGACTAAAACTTTTACATTTATGTTTATAATATTTTTAATAATTTGTTTGTTTTTTGTTTATAAAAGTTGTATAAATTTTGTTTGTTTGTTTGTTTGTTAAAAATATGTATAATTTATTTAATGTTTGACTCTTGTATGTATGTATTTTATCATTAATATACTAAACATTTTTTGTTGTTGATAATTATATTATATTTGGTATATTTTGATAATAATGTATATTTATTACAGTAATTTAAATTATTCTTTTAATTTAATTTAAATTTATGAAAATAAAATAAAATAATATATTATTAATTTAAATGATTAATAAAATATGTTATTAATAATAAATTTATGATTTGTTATTAATAACATTTTGATCAGATGACAGTCTCAGATGCATTGATTTTTTTGTGTTATTTTTATTAAAATAAACTATTTATCAAAACTACAGTATATAATATATACTATATATATATATTGATATTTGCTTATTTGTTGTTAATACAGTTATGTGTTTGTATATAATATATTATGTATGAATGTTATTGTAAAATGAATATGCATTTAGTGATCAATGATTGACACAATCATTAGTTTTGTTAGTGTGTGTTAATGGCATGATGTGTATGTGTATGTGTATGTGTATGTGTATGTGTATGTGTATGTGTATGTGTATGTGTATGTGTATGTGTATGTGTATGTGTATGTGTATGTGTATGTGTATGTGTATGTGTATGTGTATGTGTATGTGTATGTGTATGTATGATTATGTATGTATGTGTATGTGTATGTGTATGTGTATGTGTATGTGTATGTGTATGTGTATGTGTATGTGTATGTGTATGTGTATGTGTATGTGTATGTGTATGTGTATGTGTATGTGTATGTGTATGTGTATGTGTATGTGTATGTGTATGTGTATGTGTATGTGTATGTGTATGTGTATGTGTATGTGTGTGTATGATTATGTATGTGTGTGTATGTGTGTGTGTGTGTGTGTGTGTGTGTGTATGAGTTTAAGAGCCAATTACTGGTCAATAATATATATAATACATACGGTGTGTAGTTTGCGTTCAGTTCTGATGGCGTGTACGACCATAGCGTTGCCTAAAAACGTTAATAGGCTTAGAGAGCATAAGCCCAGTCCTAATGGTACGGCTATCGCAACGTTATTCAAATGTGAGGTCTCATTGAATGCATCGGCAACTGGCGATCGACTGTTTATAGCCGGCAGTACTCCCATTATGTCATTTCATTCAATAATGTCATACAAATGTTGTCATATTATTTCACTTAATATTTTTGTTGTTGTAGTTGTTGTCCATTAAATACCTGAAAATATATATACAGAATATATACAGTATATAAGTATTATTATTATATAAATCAGTTGTTTTGTAATAATATTTATAGTAATGGTATATTTTATAACAACAAACAAAAATAACAGACAAAATATATACTAATTAACTTTAAAAATTAATCTTAATGTTGTAATATGTACAGTATGTGTCTCTATAGTAAACATTTTGGTTAGCCTTATATACCGTATATAAATTATTAATATATTTTATTTAACTACAAATCTAATAATAGTTAATACTTATATTATATGACTAATTGTAAAACATCATAAAATTACATCACTAATTACCGGTTCAGGTACTAAAACTAAACTAAATATAAACTAAAAAAAAGTAAATTATTTATAAATTGAAAACAAATTATTTAATTTTCTAATTATTCAATTTTTAATTTAGAAAACAATTAATTAAATCTAATTATTTAAATCTATACACAAAAAAAACATTTTTATTTTTCACAGAATAACAGAATATTTTGTCTAAATTTTTTTTTATATATCAAAACTTTGTTCAAATTGTAAGAAAACAAATATTCTTGAAGACATTAGTTTTGGTTGAAATATATATATATATATATATGAATACAGTATATACTGTATTAATTGTCAACCCATGTAGTCTCTCTACTGGTCATTGAAATTGGCCGGAAATCTATACTTTATTTATAGAGTCAATTACAAGTAATTTAATTGATATATTTAAGTCTATATATATTGGCTATAATTGGTAGCTATAATCAGGCATTCATTTTATACAACAACAATAACAACACAATGAATGAACAGTTCATTATATATATGTTATCTTAAATATATATACAGTTATATATAAGTTATACGTGACTTAACTATCAATACATTTGTGACAAATCAGTCACGCAATCATCAATTGACAGCTTATTTTGAATTGATATATTAATACTACTACTTCTACTACTACTACTACTACTACTACTACTAATAATAATAATAATAATAATAATAATAATAATAATAATAAAGTATCAAAACAACTAATATGCTTATAAATTAAAATAAAGTAAAATAATAATAATAATAAATAATATGTAAATAACATGATAAACAAATAAATGATATCATATCAACAATTTGTTAGTCAATTAATCAATCAATGAATTTAAATTGTCAGCTAAAATATTACTATAAATGCAAATGTCATTTAATATTTAATATATACTGTCTATAGAAAAAAATATATAACACATTGAAATTGATTTATTATGATAACCAAAAAAAAAAAATTTTTTTTTATCTATCAATAATTTCAATTTATATATTCAAATTGATTTTTGTTTTCTTAAACAACATTATAACACACACATTATTACTATTTATAATAAATAAAAATAAGCCAAAATAACTGAACTTTCAAACATATAAACACACAATATATTTATATTATACAATATTCAAAAAATAAATACAACTTTCATGTTAAGGTTGTATTAAATCAAATTGAATTAGTTTTTATTTTCTCTCTCGTATGTCGTTTAATGATATTAACGTTATTTCAAATGTAATTCATTGACAATAATAACATTGTATACAATGTATAGTAAATAGCAGAGTATTTGTCAATTTAGTTGGTAATAAAAAACACTATTTTCAACTTAAATCTATTAAACATAATGTTTAGTATATTTAATAAACAGAATATTATATACTGTATAAAATTACATAATATATATGATATAAATTTATTTATTTGATATATATAAATATAATGTACCAGTTTTGTGAACTTTGACATAACCTGTACATACATAATGTACAGCACACACACACACACACACACACATACACACACACACACACACATACACACACACACACACACACACATTGAAACATATGTATTGTTTGGTCAATTTGTTTCAGTCACTCATTAGTGCCATTAAATTGAATTAATTCCTGTATTTACTTGATTTTTCTATTGTATATATATATAAACTAAAAACTATTTATTTAGTTTTAATTTACATATTTGTAAATATAGATAAACATTGTATATATAAACTAAATAATAATAATAATTAAAAAATTTGATTACTTGAAAAAACTTGTCCTAATAAGAAATTGATGTCTTTTAGATAATAGTGTATTAACTCTATATTATAATTAATAAAACAAAACAATAATACAATTTTCTAGTTTCAAAAATAATATTGAAAGTCATACTATTTAAAAATTTTTATAAACAAAATATCAATTATTTTAACAATAATAACAATAAGTGAAAAATATTTTTAATCAAAAAATTAATATCATTTATATGTACAAAAATAATACAGTAATATAATAATAATAATTATAATAACGAAGTTAATATTAAATATAAAATTAAATTAATTAAAAAAAATGTTAACGATTGCAGAAATTTATATTGGTGCTTTATTATTATTATTATTATTATTATTATTATTATTATTATTATTATTACAAACTAAATTAAGTAATATAAATAAAAAACAATATAAAGTATGAAATATCTTATTAAAAGGTTATCTAAAAATACTATCATAATATTTCAAGAAATTAATTAAAAAAATTATATATTTTAGATGAAAACAAAAAATATTTTACTGTCATTGATTAACAGTTAATTAAAAAATCACATTTTTATATTAATATGTAGTGTTTTTTTTATTAATTTAATATTAATTATTAATATATTAAATGTGAATAATTTGATGTTTATTTTATATGCTATTTTTGTATCCGAAATTCTTAACATAACTAAATGTTTAATAAATTGAAAAAATAATTACTTGATTTAAATGACTATAAATATATTTAATTAAATAATAAATTTAAAGAAAAAATATTTATAATAATTTAATTACAAATAAATAAAACTTATAATTTATTTATAGAGCATTTTCAGTGTATGAATCGTGATTTTTTTTTAAATATAATTTTATCAATAAAACTAAATTAATTTAGAAAAAATTGATTAGTAATTAAAATAAAACAATATTTGTTTAGCTAAAAATTAATTACAGTATATATTAGCAAAAATTTTTAAATAGCAATATCCAAAATAGTAAATATTAAAAATTAATAAAACTAATTAAGTTTATTGTATATAAGATAATGAAATTTTAATTTAATGAATGATAATGATTAATATAAAAAAATTAGGTTTAAATGAATGATTATAATAATATAAAAACAATTAAATAAATAAATATATTTCTTATTAATAGAAATTAATTAATATTAATAATATTAAGAATAAATTGAAATAAATATAAACTAAATGAAAGACTTTTATTTTTAATTAGAATTCTTGACGTGTTTTTTATCTATCAATTGATTTTCTCAAATAAAGTCTAACTTTTATTTTTTTTTTAAATAAGTGCTGACGAGTTAAGCAAACTATGTGTCAAACTATAGGCAAAAAAAGTGTTTTATTTAATGATTTCATTATACAGTATATAATATACGTATATATATATAAGATTATATATATATTTATACATACATTATATATTTATATTATACATATATATGAGATAAACTAATTTCATTCAAATATACTGTATATCAGTCAATCTATTTCACATGTATTTTACTAATTATTTTTGTTTTATTATTTAAATTTTCCAACACTAAACGTCTAAATGTAAAATTAAATAATTAATTGAAATATAATATATGTTTTTTTTATAATTATTATTTAGCGAAAGGGTTTTGTATGATATATTTGAATGAAATTAGTTAATAATTTATGTTATCCTAATTAATAATAGATAAACATATATAGAAAAAAATATTTAAATAAATAATCAGATATTATTTAAATATTAATATATATATATATACTGATTAGTTGATGATCTAATTTACATGTTCAATACTATTAGTAGTAAATTTTACGTTAATATAAATACATTAATTGATTCTAAAATTAAATTAGAGAATAATTAAATAAAAAACTAATTAACATATATATAATAATATATTACTACAAATATTTTATTTTTATTTGTCATTATTATAGATTTTATATACATAATAAAAATAACTAAACTTTATTTAAATTTTTATTTTAACACTATAAAAAGCTAACTAAATTTCTAATTATAAAATTTATTATTATTAACATTTATTATTTACTACTTTCTAGATATGTATATTAAAAATATATATTGAGAAGTATCTTGTAATATATATATATATTGTGTATTTGTATATATTATTAAATAAAATTTTTAATTATAATTTTTTAATTTACATATATATTGATATTAATACTAATATAATTTTTTTTAAAAATATTAATTGAATATTCTATATGATGCTCATTGACATATATGTTAAAATGGATGTAATAATTTAGATTAAGTAAAAAAAATATATATATATATATAAAAATTTCAATCATTGAAAATAATAATAATAATAATCATAAATAATTTAAATGAGGTATAAGTAAGTCATTGCCTATAGTATTATATAATACTGTAGTATAGACTGATTGTTGTGGAAAAGTTATAGTCGACTCTTAATTAGATTTAAGTGATAGTAGTATTGGCACACAAATGAAATGACAATTGATTGCAATTGCTTTTTGGTTGAGTCTATCATTGATTTAATACAATACTCTCTCTCTCTCTCTCTCTCTCTCTCTCTCTCTCTCTCTCTCTCTCTCTCTCTCTCTCTCTCTGTCTTTAGTTGTTTAATATAGCAATCAAATTGTTAATTAAAAATTACAATATATAAGACTCAAAAAAAA